GTGGAGCAGGCCAGAGCCCACTGAGCGGAGGGAGCGGACAAGTAAGTGCGGACGCCTCAAAGCGCTTCACAGGATTCACTGTAGGGTGTAGTGACTGCATGTTTTGTGGGCGACTGACAGAAGGCAAGTCCGCCCCTTGAATTCACTTGTCTGACACACACGGAAACACATCACCGCGCTTGAAGAGAATCCAAACCAGACGGGTTACACATACCCACGGACGGAGCAATGCCATGGTTACAGCACTCTCTGCTGGCAATGTGTGGGAGCTGTGGGAATACACGATTCTCTCTCCTCACTCCACACCCCTCCAACCCAATCCAGAGATTAATTCATTAATGGAGTGAAGTACAGACCCTCGTCGGTGTAGCCCCCCACTCCCCCCCGTGAATCAGCCTCTCGAAACGGGTCCGACAGATACACCTACTCCTCTGTCACTCTTTCTCTGTGTGTGCCTCTCTCCCCCCACCCTCCTCGCTCCTTCCCCCTCGACCCCACTCTCTCTCCTTCTCTCTCTCCCGCCTTGCTCTCTTCTTCCCCACCCTTTGCTCTCTCGCTCCCTCTGTGTGCGTGTTTCTCTCTTCCCCCCCTCCCACATTCTCGCTCTCTCCGAGTCTCTGCCCTCTCTCCCGCCCTGTACTCTGGGCGATAGCGCGGCGCTGGTGTGAGTGTGCGCGCGTTGTGTCTGCGGTGCCTGTGCAGCGCCAACAGAGAGTGCTGCCACACTGCCACTGGCTCAGAGCCTCAAACTAACGTCGTGCCCGCCGGGCAGAGGTTGTGTGTGAGAGGCCGTCAGTGGGAGAGTGAGGGGAGGGTTCCTGACCTGCAAAATGAGGGCAAAGTAGTCGACGGGTTTGCTGCGTGTGTACAGGTAGTGCTCGGGGGCTCGCTTGTTGCTCTCGTCAAACTTAATCTCATGGATGACTTCGGGTGTTTGAGGAGACGCAGCAGTATCTTTTCTGACATCTGAGATGGCGAGAAGTGGCTGATCTCTGTGTGAGAGAGAGGGAGGGAGGGGAGCGAGAGGGAGGGGGAGCAGAGAGAGCAAGCAGAGGAGAGGAGGGAGGGGGTGGAGAGAGAAGGGGAGAGAGTGAGAGATTAAGGGGGGAGAAAGAGAGAGAGAGAGATCGAGGGGGGAGAGAGAGAGGGAGAGGGATTGGGGGGGGGGGGAAGAGAGAGAGAGATCGAGGGGGAGAGGAAATGGACGGTTAATGATTGCACACGTTTAGCCACAGGTCCCAGACTGTTGACGATACAAACGCAAACACAGAAACTCGTGACCTTCACTGAGGCCTGAGGTGATAACCGGCGCCCACACAAAGTGTAGTTTGTGCAGACGCTATTTAACCCGCCCAATGACACACACGACAAAACCTAAATTTAGCAACAGCTTCATTAAAGTTAGGGCATCGGCAGCTCAAGAGCCCGAAACCGTAGCCCATCACCAGCGACGCCAGGGCGGGGAGAGAGAGAGAGAGAGAGAGAGAGAGAGAGCACAACAGCAGCAACAACTTGTAATTACACTGTAATCATGCAGTGTCTCGGAGCGCTTAACAACGGTGGAGCCCGATGCCGAGCTGGGGTGGGGAGGAGGGAGAGGGAGTTGACCGTAAGCACGCACGGTCGAAGAGGAAGGTCTTTAGTTGGGAAGGAGCAGGCAAGGTGCAGGGATTGGGGGGGAAGGAGTTCCAAATCGGGTTCCAAGAACCCCGCTAAGTAAACAGGCGTGTGAGCGCGTGTGTGTGTGATGTAAGGAAACTTGCCTAAGGTTTTGCCCGGCCCGGGAATCGAACCCGGGTCCTCTCGCTTGTGAGCACTGCTTTGTCGGAGGTGCTGTCCATGAGGGTTGAACCCACAATCTCCTGAACCAGGGAGAGAGTGTGACCACGGATGCGAGGGTGGGTGCGGGGTGAGGCAGAGGGAGAAGAATTTTCGTGACGGACGAGTACAGGACTCACCGGTGGACAGGAAGCGGTGGGCGGCCAGCAGTAGCTGGGGGGAGATCTTGACTTTGGTTTCGCTGTCAGAGGGTTTGAAGGCTGAGAAGTCTCTCTTCCTCCCGTGTTGGGACACTTTCTTTTTACTCCTGTTATCGGCTGAAAGACAAACCCAGGGCATCGTCACTCCAGTGGAACCCCCTCCCCATCTCAACCAGGCCAGAGCCCACATTGTGTCTGGCCACTGCTTTTCCCAATCCCGTTTCCCATCGCTCCCGCTCTCTATCTCTCACTCCGCCCCCGTCTCTCAATGTCCTCACTGTTCAGCTGCTTATCCAGGTCCCTTTGGATCCACCCTATTGGTCCGGCCTCGGTGAGAAACTGCTGAGCCAGGAGGGGCCGCAGTGTCCCAGGGCACTCACTGCTAATGGCAGCACAGCCCGGCCCATCGGCAGGACCTGGAAGGGCGACAGTCACTGGGGGCAGGAATCCTTCCCCTCAGCTCCTGTTAACCCCGCAGCCAAAGCACTAACTAACGGGGAGGGGTGTCCGAGATGGACAAGCAGCGGGAAAGCTCGGCCAGACAGCGACATCAATGGCCGAGCTGTGTGTGGGTTTAGTTGGTTAGACTCCAGCAGTTACCCCAACGCACACTCTGGGCTCCCACCCCAAGCCTTGGGTCTTGCCAACCTGCGCTCCAGAATTAGATAAGCAGGATGCGTCTCTCCAGAGAGCGAGAGAGAGTGCCCATTCCATTCCAGACAAGGGGAATGAGCTGGGTTGAAGGGGAACAAGGGGGTGTACCAGCGAGGGGGAGTGTTAGAAGACTCCAGGCAGCTCATACTCACTGAACATGTCTGACTCGTCCAGGATCTCTGATTTGATGATCTCCTCAATGACGTCCTCGAGAGTGACCAACCCCAACACCTCATAGAAGGGGTCTCCCTCACCCTCGCTGTTCACCTTCTGTACGATGGCCAGATGAGATTTACCTGAAACCACAGGCACGACAGTCACACACAGCCAGACCCCTCCTCTGTTCCTACCCTCCTACCGACCCCATCCTTCACCCCTTCCTGATCCCAACCATCAGCTCGGATATGGATCCCAGACTGTCCAGCCCCTTGGGATGTCCTCCTGATGTGAAAGGCGCTATGTAAATGTAGCTTGGGTGTTGCTCCCCTCTCCTACACCCCTCTATTCCCCTCTCCTACACCTCTCATTAATCTCTCTCTCGGTGTCCTGGCTGACAAACCCAGATTAATCGCTCGCTCGCATCACGGCTGTTTGTGGGGCATCGCTGTATGCCCATTAGCTGCCACGTTTCCCTACAAAATACAGTGACCAGTCGGCAAATCCTGTAAAGCACTTTAAGGTGAAAGGACCCAGCAACAAATGCAGGGATTATGAATCTGATTTTATCCGTGGGGATTTGCGGGCGGTGATATCTGGTGTCAGTGTCGGCCTCTGAGGCAGGAGGTCATGGGTTTGAGTCCCACATCGAGGGCTTTGAACTCCAATCTGGGCTGAGACTCCAACTCTTTGGGCGGGTGGGGACACGGTCGGAGGAGTTTTTACCCCAATACCTGGGCTTGTCATTGCTTGGAGCTGCTAGGTAGGACTCCTTTCACTCCCCCCGCTGTCTGCCCTGCCGCAGGTTATTAATAATTATAATAATAATCCTTGCATTTGGTACAGCGCCTTATCATGCCGTTGAGACATCTCAAGCGCTTCATAGGCTATACTGTAAAGCGAATTGACTAGGTTTTGGGGCGAAATGTGGCAGCCAACTGCGCAAGCAGCGTCCGACAAACATTCGTGGAATGAGTGACCAAATTATTATCTTTGTATTCGTACTTCTTTGGAGGGATTATTACCCGGGTTCCTACTTACTGCTGGGTAAACTGAGGCTTGTGTGTGGAGTAAGGAAACTTGCCTAAGGTTTCGCCCTGACCCGCCCGGGAATCGAGACTGACGCTGGTGTGCGCGCACAATTGACTGCCGCGTTTCTTCACAAACTGCATAGTCGCTCCACTGTGTGTGTGTGTGTGTGTGTGTGTGTGTGTGGTGGTGGTGGGGGAAAGGTCCCTAAGTTTCCAACATCATCACACCCGAGCGGGACATGCCACAGCCTGGAGGCTGTGTGTGAGGAGTAATGAGAGATTAGCTGGGGATTAATGGTGATAGTTGCGTGCGGAAGCTGCAAGGTCATTGAGATCAGAGGAAAATCACAGCCTGATTTGGATGGGACAGAGGACAGTGGGGCTGACAACAGGTCCATAGCCCTGCACACATTCGGCACAAACGGGAGCCAGCACTCGCTCACACCCAGAGGAACGTGCTGTTAGTTACATGCCAGACTGAGCCCCCCTGTGCTGTGCGTCAACAGAAACTTATATTTATAATAATAATCATCATAACAATCCTTGCATTTGATATCGTGCCTTATCGCATCGCCGGGACATCTCAAAGTGCCTCGCAGAATTCACTGTAAAGTGATTATTTTGTGAGAGAAATGCGGCAGCCAATTGCGCACAGCCGTCGTGGATCGAGTGAGCCAAAATTTTTTTTTGGTGGGATTATTACCCCGGAAAGCAATCTGCCAGTCAGCTAACAACTGGGTCATTGTTATATAAATGCAAGTTGTTGTTGTTGGGTTCTACTTACAGCTGGGTAAACAGAGCGGTGACGGGTTTCCGCGTGTGTCAGACACCCGGCCGTCACGGTGACGTGGTGTGTCACCGTGTGTCGTGGTGTCAGACACCCGGCCGGTCACGGTGACGGGTTTCTCGTGGTGTCAGACACCCGGTTGGTCACGTGACAATGGTCTCCTCCTGTTCCTAGGAGGGGAGAGGCTGAACTCTCAGTCACTACACTCTCAACCTCTGCAACCCTCTCCCCCCACCACCCCACACACTAGCCGTCATTCAATCCTCCCTCTTTAAACACATCTGTGGTCAACCCCTTCCCCCCACCCCCCACCCGGGGCTTCCCCCCTTGGCTGCTATGATGATTACCCTCTCTCCACCCCCACCACCACCACCGGCCCCCTCTTGGACTCACAGTCAGACGCCGCCTCAGGTAGCGGATAACAATGAAGGTGTCGTGGTTGAGGTTGCGGACGTGAGCCGAGCAGCCCCCTATCTCGTTGGGGCGTCCGTCCCGCGTGTGGTCGTAGGAGATCGAGCCGTTGCCCACCATGGCGGAGAGGTAGGGGAAGATCCTCTGCACAGGGAACCAGAGAGGTGAGCCGCAGAGCGCATAGGGAGGGAGGAGAGGGTAGGCTTTCTGAGCGTCACCATTTCCTGTTATTAATCCTGCCGTTCCTTCCCTCCTGCTGTTCCTTCCCTATCACATGCAACCCTCGCTCTCCCCATTTATCCCCCGCCTCTCGCCCGCCCCATGCAATATGACCAGGGTTTGGGCTCAACATATCCTGTTGTTGTGCTCGTTGTTGGGACCTGAACTCCAGCCGAGTACACAGAAAAGCCGAGCTAAGCGCAGTTCAGGGCAAAAACAGGGAGAGGGATTGTCCTCCTTAGAGCATAGAAGGGGAGATTTAATAGAGGGGATCAAAACGATGAGGGGTTTTGATAAGAGTAGAGAGGGAGAAACTGTTTCCTCTGGCGGGCGGGTGGGTCGGTAACCAGAGGACACGGATTTAAGATCATTGGCAAAAGAACCAGAGGGGAGACGATGAGACTTTTTTTTGCCCAGAGAGTTGTTAAGGTCCGGAACGCACGGTCGGAAATGGTGAGTTGGAAGCAGATTGGATAGTAGCTTTCAAAAGGGAGTTGGATAGGGACTTGAAGAGGAAAAATGTGCAGGGCTGTGATGGGGTAAGAGCGGGGGAGTGGGACTAGTTGGTAACTCTTTTAAAGAGCTGGCACAGGCACGAAGGACCGAATGGCCTCTCTCTGTAAGATTCTATGATTGTAGATTACCAAAGATAGCCTGGGGAGGAATGAAATTAGTTCATAAACAATCCAATTTTGACCCACGGTCCTTTTTTTTTTGGTCAGCCGGGTGTCTGATACGCACAGAAACCCATCACCTGCTTAAGAGTCTCCAAACCAAGCTGAGAATTCCATGAGTCCCACATACACATGGAAATCCCAGCGATACATTGTTGGAATGGAAAGCTCTCTCTCTCTCTCTCTCCCTGGAGGGACGCATCGTGTTTACCGAATTCCGGAGAGTATTAGGCGCAGGTTGGCAAGAGCCAGGGCTTGAGGGGAGCCCAGAATGTGCGTTGGGGTAACTGCTGGAGTCTAACCAGCTAAACCCAAGCATAGCTTGGCCATTAAGAACACTGGCTGGCCAGCTTTCCTGTAGCTTGTCCAGCTCGGACCACCCTACTCAATAGGACTTTGGCTGCAGGGTTAACAGGAGCTGAGTGGGAGGATTCCCTGTCCCCAGTGACTTGTCACAAGTTTAACATTGCAGGGGACCTGACCAATAGTAAATATGGTAAAATGAGGGGAGTGGGGAGGGTTAGGGGGAATCGCAGCTGAATGATTGGGATGAGGGAAGACATGCGGTGGGAATGGATGTAGCAGAGAGAGAGCTACCTGGGTGGTCGGTGAGTATCTCCTCTTCTTGCTCTGCACATCTCCGAATTATGTCACACAGTGAGGCAGTAACATGAGACAAGACACGTTTCAATACCTTACACCTCCGAGCACTCTTAAAGCCCGACTCCGTTCTGTGCAGAGAGCAAGACCCCCGCACTAAACTCCGTCCCCCCATCGCACCAGTCCTTGCCAGGCTCCACTGGCTCCCTATCATCGAACACACTGATTTAAGATCCTCACACACTTGTCTTCAAATCGCTTCACGCTCTGGCACCTCCCTACCTCTAGCTTACCCCCTATCCGCTGCCTCCCCACCGGCTCCGGCCTCCTGCATGTCCCCCGTGCTCTCCGCTCCACCATCGGTAGCCACGCTTTTAGCCACGACCGAAACTCTGGAACACTCTATGCGCACTCGCCCTCCCTCCCTCGCCTACCCCCCCACCCTCTTTACCTCTCCTCACCTCATGCTGCTTCTCTTCATTCGGGTACGTGTCCACAAAGACCCCCAGGCCCGAGAACTGATCAGCGCTTCCGAACACTGGACCTAGAGAGGCCGAGAGGCTGGTGAGCGTCAAGGAGAGGGGACCCGGCCTATCACTCACTTACACACGCACACACAGGCAGGGTTAGCAGAGCTGAACGGAGAAGTCTACAGAGAGCCAGTACTTCAATAAGCACTTCACACGATATACTGTAAACTGTAGTGACCGGATATTTTGTGGGTGAAACACAGCAGCCAAGTGCACACAGCAGTGTCCCAAAAACAGTCGTGGAGCAAGGAAACGTGCGTAAGGTTTTTCCCCGCCCGGGAATCAAACCCGGATCCTCTTGCTTGCGAGGCGAGTAAACTAACTGCCACACCACAGGACTCCATGATGGGCCGAATGGCCTCTCTTTGTGCTGCGAGTTTGAGGTTCGTGTCTCTGTCACACCCACCTGCTTGCATCCTGTCCCGAGTGTACCAGATCCCAAGGCCGTCCCCGTTGAGATTTTTCTTACCCTGGCCGTGAATCTTAAAATGGACTTGAAGCTCCCAGTCTCGCAGGGCACATGGCTGTGAGAGAGACAGACAGAGACACATAGAGAGAGACAAGACAGAGACACAAGTCAGTGAGAGACACAGGCAGACAGACAGAGAGAGAGAGAGAGACCGGGAGAATGGTCACTAACATTTATCACTGACACACACACAGCTCACAATCTCTAAAACACAAGGAATAGTAACAATCACACAGTTCAGGTGACACCTGTGGCTCTGTCTCTCTTGCTCTCGCCACCGGCTCAGAAGGCCCACATTCGATGGGGGCGCTTTCAGCTCACAATCCAACCCAGTGCTGGGAAGGGAGTGGGGGTGGGGAGAGGTAACAATCAGAATCATCCTTTATATAGACGTCTCAAAGCGCTTTACAGAATATACTGTAAAGCGAATTGACTGTGTATTTTGTGGGCGAAACGCGGCAGCCAATTGCGCACAGCAGCGCCCCCACAAACAGCCGTGTGGGGGCCGGGGGAGAGAGTGCCGCGTTGTCCGAGGCGCCGTCCTTCAGGTGAGCCGTTAAACCTCACTCCTGTCCCCGTCTGTGCCCTGTTCAGGTGGCCGTTTAAGACCTTCCGCGGCACTGTTGGACAAGAGAAGGGAGTTTCTCCTCCTCTGTCCTGGCCACACAGCAAAAAACAGATTACGTGGGTATTGCTGCCTTCCCCGTCGGTAAGACGTCCCCCAAGGCAGTGGACGTCCCAGCAACTTCAGGCCAGGGGCCAAATCGGAGCGGATGGGAAGCGAGACGCGCTTACGATTCGGTTCCAGATGGCTCCCTGTCTGCTCTGCAGGTCGGGGGTCAGCCTCACAAACTGAGTGGTCACCATCGCGTTTCCCAGCAGCTCCCAGTGGGAGCCCGAGCTCGAGGCCCCCAAACCTGCAACAGAGAGAGAGAGAGAGAGAGAGGATTAGGACGGGACCGTCCATCCCAAACAGCCGGCACCGGGGAGTAGAAACCCGTCACGTGACCGGCCGGGTGTCTGACACACAGAACCCGTCACCGTGACCGGCCGGGTGTCTGCACACACACACAGGGAAACCCGTCACCGTGACCGGCCGGGTGTCTGACACACGCGGAAACCCGTCACCGCTCTGTTTACCCAGCTGTAAGTAGGAACCCAACAACAACAACTTGCATTTATATAACAATGACCCAGTTGTTAGCTGACTGGCAGATTGCTTTCCGGGGTAATAATCCCACCAAAAAAAAATTTTTTGGCTCACTCGATCCACGACGGCTGTGCGCAATTGGCTGCCGCATTTCTCTCACAAAATAATCACTTTACAGTGAATTCTGCGAGGCACTTTGAGATGTCCCGACGATGCGATAAGGCACGATATCAAATGCAAGGATTGTTAATATGATTATTATTATAAATATAAGTTTCTGTTGACGCACAGCACAGGGGGGCTCAGTCTGGCATGTAACTAACAGCACGTTCCTCTGGGTGTGAGCGAGTGCTGGCTCCCGTTTGTGCCGAATGTGTGCAGGGCTATGGACCTGTTGTCAGCCCCACTGTCCTCTGTCCCATCCAAATCAGGCTGTGATTTTCCTCTGATCTCAATGACCTTGCAGCTTCCGCACGCAACTATCACCATTAATCCCCAGCTAATCTCTCATTACTCCTCACACACAGCCTCCAGGCTGTGGCATGTCCCGCTCGGGTGTGATGATGTTGGAAACTTAGGGACCTTTCCCCCACCACCACCACACACACACACACACACACACACAGAGGCTGTAAAGTGGAGCGACTATGCAGTTTGTGAAGAAACGCGGCAGTCAATTGTGCGTGCACACCAGCGTCAGTCTCGATTCCCGGGCGGGTCAGGGCGAAACCTTAGGCAAGTTTCCTTACTCCACACACAAGCCTCAGTTTACCCAGCAGTAAGTAGGAACCCGGGGTAATAATCCCTCCAAAGAAGTAACGAATACAAAGATAATAATTTGGTCACTCATTCCACGAATGTTTGTCGGACGCTGCTCTGCGCAGTTGGCTGCCACATTTCGCCCCCAAAACCTAGTCAATTCGCTTTACAGTATAGCCTATGAAGCGCTTTGAGATGTCTCAACGGCATGATAAGGCGCTGTACCAAATGCAAGGATTATTATTATAATTATTAATAACCTGCGGCAGGGCAGACAGCGAGGGGGAGTGAAAGGAGTCCTACCTAGCAGCTCCAAGCAATGACAAGCCCAGGTATTGGGGTAAAAACTCCTCCGACCGTGTCCCCACCCGCCCAAAGAGTTGGAGTCTCAGCCCAGATTGGAGTTCAAAGCCCTCGATGTGGGACTCAAACCCATGACCTCCTGCCTCAGAGGCCGACACTGACACCAGATATCACCGCCCGCAAATCCCCACGGATAAAATCAGATTCATAATCCCTGCATTTGTTGCTGGGTCCTTTCACCTTAAAGTGCTTTACAGGATTTGCCGACTGGTCACTGTATTTTGTAGGGAAACGTGGCAGCTAATGGGCATACAGCGATGCCCCACAAACAGCCGTGATGCGAGCGAGCGATTAATCTGGGGGTTTGTCAGCCAGGACACCGAGAGAGAGATTAATGAGAGGTGTAGGAGAGGGGAATAGAGGGGTGTAGGAGATGGGAATAGAGGGGTGTAGGAGAGGGGAGCAACACCCAAGCTACATTTACATAGCGCCTTTCACATCAGGAGGACATCCCAAGGGGCTGGACAGTCTGGGATCCATATCCGAGCTGATGGTTGGGATCAGGAAGGGGTGAAGGATGGGGTCGGTAGGAGGGGTAGGAACAGAGGAGGGGTCTGGCTGTGTGTGACTGTCGTGCCTGTGGTTTCAGGTAAATCTCATCTGGCCATCGTACAGAAGGTGAACAGCGAGGGTGAGGGAGACCCCTTCTATGAGGTGTTGGGGTTGGTCACTCTCGAGGACGTCATTGAGGAGATCATCAAATCAGAGATCCTGGACGAGTCAGACATGTTCAGTGAGTATGAGCTGCCTGGAGTCTTCTAACACTCCCCCTCGCTGGTACACCCCCTTGTTCCCCTTCAACCCAGCTCATTCCCCTTGTCTGGAATGGAATGGGCACTCTCTCTCGCTCTCTGGAGAGACGCATCCTGCTTATCTAATTCTGGAGCGCAGGTTGGCAAGACCCAAGGCTTGGGGTGGGAGCCCAGAGTGTGCGTTGGGGTAACTGCTGGAGTCTAACCAACTAAACCCACACACAGCTCGGCCATTGATGTCGCTGTCTGGCCGAGCTTTCCCGCTGCTTGTCCATCTCGGACACCCCTCCCCGTTAGTTAGTGCTTTGGCTGCGGGGTTAACAGGAGCTGAGGGGAAGGATTCCCTGCCCCCAGTGACTGTCGGCCCTTCCAGGTCCTGCCGATGGGCCGGGCTGTGCTGCCATTAGCAGTGAGTGCCCTGGGACACTGCGGCCCCTCCTGGCTCAGCAGTTTCTCACCGAGGCCGGACCAATAGGGTGGATCCAAAGGGACCTGGATAAGCAGCTGAACAGTGAGGACATTGAGAGACGGGGGCGGAGTGAGAGATAGAGAGCGGGAGCGATGGGAAACGGGATTGGGAAAAGCAGTGGCCAGACACAATGTGGGCTCTGGCCTGGTTGAGATGGGGAGGGGGTTCCACTGGAGTGACGATGTCCTGGGTTTGTCTTTCAGCCGATAACAGGAGTAAAAAGAAAGTGTCCCAACACGGGAGGAAGAGAGACTTCTCGGCCTTCAAACCCTCTGACAGCGAAACCAAAGTCAAGATCTCCCCCCAGCTACTGCTGGCCGCCCATCGCTTCCTGTCCACCGGTGAGTCCTGTTCTCGTCCGTCACGAAAATTCTTCTCCCTCTGCCTCACCCCCCACACCCGCACCCACCCTCGCATCCGTGGTCACACTCTCTCCCTGGTTCAGGAGATTGTGGGTTCAACCCTCACGGACAGCACCTCCGACAAAGCAGTGCTCACAAGCGAGAGGACCCGGGTTCGATTCCCGGGCCGGGCAAAACCTTAGGCAAGTTTCCTTACATCACACACACGCGCACACACGCCTGTTTACTTAGCGGGGGTTCTTGGAACCCGATTTGGAACTCCCTTCCCCCCCAATCCCTGCACCTTGCCTGCTCCTTCCCAACTAAAGACCTTCCTCTTCGACCGTGCGTGCTTACGGTCAACTCCCTCTCTCCCTCCTCCCCACCCCGCTCGGCATCGGGCTCCACCGTTGTTAAGCGCTCCGAGACACTGCATGATTACAGTGTAATTACAAGTTGTTGCTGCTGTTGTGCTCTCTCTCTCTCTCTCTCTCTCTCCCCGCCCTGGCGTCGCTGGTGATGGGCTACGGTTTCGGGCTCTTGAGCTGCCGATGCCCTAACTTTAATGAAGCTGTTGCTAAATTTAGGTTTTGTCGTGTGTGTCATTGGGCGGGTTAAATAGCGTCTGCACAAACTACACTTTGTGTGGGCGCCGGTTATCACCTCAGGCCTCAGTGAAGGTCACGAGTTTCTGTGTTTGCGTTTGTATCGTCAACAGTCTGGGACCTGTGGCTAAACGTGTGCAATCATTAACCGTCCATTTCCTCTCCCCCTCGATCTCTCTCTCTCTTCCCCCCCCCCCCCAATCCCTCTCCCTCTCTCTCTCCCCCCTCGATCTCTCTCTCTCTCTTTCTCCCCCCTTAATCTCTCACTCTCTCCCCTTCTCTCTCCACCCCCTCCCTCCTCTCCTCTGCTTGCTCTCTCTGCTCCCCCCTCCCTCTCGCTCCCCTCCCTCTCTCTCACACAGAGATCAGCCACTTCTCGCCATCTCAGATGTCAGAAAAGATACTGCTGCGTCTCCTCAAACACCCCGAAGTCATCCATGAGATTAAGTTTGACGAGAGCAACAAGCGAGCCCCCGAGCACTACCTGTACACACGCAGCAAACCCGTCGACTACTTTGCCCTCATTTTGCAGGTCAGGAACCCTCCCCTCACTCTCCCACTGACGGCCTCTCACACACAACCTCTGCCCGGCGGGCACGACGTTAGTTTGAGGCTCTGAGCCAGTGGCAGTGTGGCAGCACTCTCTGTTGGCGCTGCACAGGCACCGCAGACACAACGCGCGCACACTCACACCAGCGCCGCGCTATCGCCCAGAGTACAGGGCGAGAGAGAGGGGCAGAGACTCGGAGAGAGCGAGAATGTGGGAGGGGGGGGAAGAGAGAAACACGCACACAGAGGGAGCGAGAGAGCAAAGGGTGGGGAAAGAGAGCAAGGCGGGAGAGAGAGAAGGAGAGAGAGTGGGGTCGAGGGGGAAGGAGCGAGCGGAGGGGGGGGAGAGAGGCACACACAGAGAAAGAGTGACAGAGGAGTAGGTGTATCTGTCGGACCCGTTTCGAGAGGCTGATTCACGGGGGGAGTGGGGGGCTACACCGACGAGGGTCTGTACTTCACTCCATTAATGAATTAATCTCTGGATTGGGTTGGAGAGGTGGAGTGAGGAGAGAGAATCGTGTATTCCCACAGCTCCCACACATTGCCAGCAGAGAGTGCTGCAACCATGGCATTGCTCCGTCCGTGGGTATGTGTAACCCGTCTGGTTTGGATTCTCTTCAAGCGCGGTGATGTGTTTCCGTGTGTGTCAGACAAGTGAATTCAAGGGGTGGACTTACCTTCTGTCAGTCGCCAACAAAACATGCAGTTACTACACCCTACAGTGAATCCTGTGAAGCGCTTTGAGGCGTCCGCACTTACTTGTCCGCTCCCTCCGCTCAGTGGGCTCTGGCCTGCTCCACGTCCCCCGTCCTGCCCGCCTCACCATCGGAGTTCAGGCCTTCAGCCTCTCTGCCTCCACCCTTTCGAAATCCATCCCGGAGCCCTTCCGCTTCGCCCCCTGCCTTGTCTCCTTCAAGACCCGCTTCGACCTCCTATCCCCACCCTCCCTGTCCTGCACCCCTCCTGGTCCCAACCCCCAGCTCGGACCCAAATCCTTGACTGTCCAGCGCCTTGGGACATCCTCCCGATGTGAACTGCGCCTTATCAAACGCAAGGGTTATATAATAGTCCAACAGGGGAGGTAAGGCTGGATGTAAAGCAAAGGGAAGGCGGGGGTTTAGATAGGAGATAGGGGAAGGGTTCCTGCCTAACGTAAGGAATGTTTGTTATCTCCGCAGGGAAAGGTGGAGGTGGAGGCCGGAAGAGAAGACATGAAGTTTGAAACGGGTCCTTTCTCCTTTTATGGGACCATGGCTCTCACCACCTTTCTGGGTAAGTACCCCCCCCTTCTCTCTCTGTCTCACACACCCTCCCACGCCCCCCACCCCTTCTATCTCCCCCACCCTATCTCTTGCCCCCTCCACCCCCTTAAAATCGGTGGTCTGGCCTTCAGCCTCGCTGCCCTGACCCTTTGGAACTCCATCCCACATTCCCTCCGCCTCACTCCCTCCCTCGGCTCCTTGAATACCCATCTCAAAACCCTCCTCATCGACCACGTCTTTGGTCATCTTCCTACCCCCACCCTCTCTGCCCTCCACCCCTGCTGATTCCAACCCCCAGCTCGGGTCCAAATCCCTGACTGTTCAGCGCCTTGGGACGTCCTCCTGTCATTTGTAAAAGTCATTTGTTGTTGGTGTCTCGACGACCTGATCAGGCGCTGTATCAGAGACAAGGATTATTATTATTATTGTTAAGCTGTGATCCGCTCAGATACCGACCCCTTTTCCTTTCCTTTCCTCGTGGCTTCAGACACTCGCTCGATATCGCACGTCAGTGGTTTGAATCGCTCGATCTCGGTGTCCCACCCCGATCACTCGGATTCCCTCTCGACCGTCGGTAGCAGCATCTCCCAGATCAACCCTGCCGTTGTCTACGTCCCAGACTTCTCCGTCAGAGCACTGAGCGACCTGCAGTTTGTCAAGGTAACAACAACAACTTGCATTTATATCGCGCCCCTTCACCCGGGGTAGGGTCACGAAACACTTAAGCACCTGCTCCCTTCTATGGCCTCCGCTCACACACACCCCGGCCTCAGTGGGTACTGACCCTCAAACTGGGGGTCAGGATGGAGATTTAGGACAATTCTGGAACCCAGGAGGCATTGAATCAGAAGCCAGGGACAGGCAAGCAGGGCAACGAACTGGGGAGTTCTGTAGCTCACAAGCGGGAGGACCCGGGTTCGATTCCCGGGTCAGCTCAGGGTGAAACCTTAGGCAAGTTTCCTTACTGCCCACACACACACACACACACACACACGCCTCTGTTTACCAGCAGCCAGTTGTTAGTCGATTGGCGAATCGCTTTCCGGGGCGTAATTATCCCTCCAAAATAAATAATAATTTGGTCACTCCAACCACGGTTGTTTGAGGGATACTCCTGCGTGCAATTGGCCGTCATGTTTGGCCCACGAAATAGACAGTCACTACACTTTACAGTGTATCCCGTGCTTTCAGACGTCTCAACAACGCTCCGCGGAAAGCCACCATATCAAACACAAGGACTATTATTATTATTGAACCCTGCGAAGCGCTGTGAGGCGTCCTGGCGTGAGAATGTAAGGATTTACGATGATGTTCTGGAATAACTAATGCACCTTTTTGGGGTGTCCGTGTGTCTGTGTCCGTGTGTCTGTGCCCGTGTGTGTGTGTGGCTTGGTTTAAACAGGTGACCCGGCAGCAATATCAAAACGGTTTGAAGGCGTCTAAACTGGACAGCACTCCTCAGTCCCCAGAGAGCTTGCACCTCAAGATCAACCCCACGGTGACGGACAAAGCAGACAGTGTCCCAGATGAGACCACAAACCTCCTAAACGAGCAGAACGCTTTGAACCGTAAACTCAATCACACTGCAGGGGAGAACAGAATATGACGGGGGAACCTCACCCCCACCCTGACAACAGCTGCTGTGTTGGGCATTGAAAGGCGTCTGGGAAACACCCCCCCCCCCCCCCACCACCCCTTTTGAACGGGGGAAAGGGGATCGTGTTTAATGACGGAACAAGAAACACAGACAAAGTTGCGGGTCGATTTTTTTTAAACCAAGAGGTGATTTTCGAGGCCGCGAAGGAATTCGAGGCAGGAGTTCCGCGGGTCACCGCGCACGACGGCGTCTTCTTCATCCGCGTCACCCATCGCTGCCCAGAACTGCCGAGGGCGGTATCTGTGTATCACAGAGCGAGAGAGGAGGAGGAGGAGAGAGGGAGGGGAGGGGAGAGGTGAGATCGAGCTTGAGCCCCACGCTGATGCCAAAGTGCCGTGCTGGCCACTGTTCCCGTGTTGGGGAGCGTGTCTTTCCCGTGTGGGGAGTGGGCGGGCCTCGTGTTCCCATGTTGGGCGGAGCGTGTGTTTCCCGTGTTAAGACTGCTTGAGACCAAATTTCGAGCAGCTTTGCCAGGCTAAGCTGCCACTCCCCTCCTCCTCCCCTCACTTCCTCACGCACACACTCACATCGCACGCACTCACTCCTCACACGCACTCACACAGAGTTAATCTCCCTCTCAATCTTTCTCTAGGTGCTTAACATTCCCTCTGCCTCTGCTTGTGCTCTCCTCTCCTTCCCCCCTCCGCCACTCCAATTAATTTATTTGTGCTAATCCCTTGGGGGCTGGATTTTAGCCACACATGGACCCTTGTGTGTGTGTTGGGGGGGCGGTGTGGGGGGGAGGAATCTGAAATTCCAAACTCAACGCTCCTAGTTTTCCTGATTCCATGTGAAAGTGAGGAGCAGTGACTATGGCTGGGGGTGGGGGGGGAACAAGGAGAGAAAGAGTACCTCGTTGCGTGGGTGGGGAGAGTCTGCCGAACATTCCTTACGCACATTCCCGTTTCCTCCCGGGGTGGGTGGTGGGGTGGGGGTGGAGTGGGTGGCGCTGTGATACCTCCCCTGCATTGTCAGAGATGCATCCTTCAGATGAGACGTTAAACCTCACTCCCCGTCTGTGCCCCGTTCAGGCGGACGTTAAAGATCTTCCATGGCGCTGGTGTAAACGAGAAGGGGTTTCTCTCTATCTCTCGCGGTGTCCTGGCCAACAATCCCACAGATAAGCTTGTTCACTTCACAGCTTTTTTGCAGGGAAAGTCGCTGTGTCTGCTGTTCGGCCATAAAAAGAGCTCTGAGACGCTACCCTGCCTGGGGCGCGCTGTGTGAGAACAAGTTGTTGTTCAAGTGGCAAATAGTCACTGCACTTGGCAGTAATTCTGTGCGACGTGCTTTGAGACGTCCGTTTCGATGTTACTGGCCCTCTTCACCCGGTAGCCACTCAGCGTCTCCAGGCACTTCACAGGCAATTAATTGTAAAGTGTATTTAGCAAACACGGCGACCAGTTTGCACACAGCGATGTTCCAGACACAGCCTCGAAGTGAATGACTGGGGGATTGTCAGCCAGGACACCGGGTTAGAGAGGGAAACTACCCACTCTTTTCTTACAGCGCCATGGGATCTGTAACGTCCGTCTGAGCAGGACAGGACTTCGGGTTGATGTCTCATCCGAAAGAAGGTGCCTTCGGCAAAGCGGCGCTCTCTCTCTCTCTCTCTCTCTCTCTCCCCAGAGCTGAGGTTGCAGATTTTTGGGGGTTTGGTGCAAAAGGGGCTGCCGTGCCGGTCTGTAGTGTGCTGTGCGGGGGTCTGATCCATGTATGTATGTCTGTGTGTGTGTGAGGAGAGCTCTTATCTAACGATCTGTCCGTCTCTCTGTCTGCCAAATCACCCACTTGGGGAGGGGTGAGAAACGTCTCTTTCGTGACCCACTGGATTTGAGAACGGTGGGAAAGGCCGGCGGTTTGAAATTGACTCCGGGGGAGAAACGTTTCCCATCACTTTGACTTCAGTTCCTCGCACAAGGAGGGCTGGTGATTTGAAATTGTGTGATATTGATTTGAACGAAGCTCAGATCTCCCCCCACCTCTCCCCACTCACTGTACTGGGCTTTAATGTGCGACACTGGGAATATCTGCCCCTTTTATCAGAAATTCACTCTCGGTCTCAGCCTGCAGTTCATCCTGCCTTAAAGTGTGAGACGCTCTGCGGGAGGGAAGCCCCCCCACTCACTCACCTCAACCTCGGGGGAGTTTTGGATGCGGGTTAGTGAGAGCCAAAGGTTATGGAGACAAGAGTGCGTTGGGGGTTAACGACGATACTAACCGGCTGAAACCAAAGCACTCTCTGGCAAGTTTCCCATTGTTTGACTTTCAGGCACGACGGGCACACAGGCTAAGCCTTGATGGAATTTGGGGGCCTTTTGTTCAATGAGGGGGTTACAACCTACCCTCGACTGTGGCCGTTTCCTGCTGTGCAGGAGCACAGTCTATCGATTCCCCAGACATGGTACGGGGAGGCATTTGTTTCCCCTCCCGCGGACCATTTCATTGCTCGGTTGATCCAGCGCCTTTCACGTCACGAGGACCTCTCCCAGCGCTTCGCTATAAAGTGTAGTGACTTGTTTTGTAAAGGAACATTTAGTCTAATTTTATAGAGTCCAAAAGCACAGTGTTACACTGAGGTCGGGCTGGAGTCACCCAGAGCCTTTCTATTAGGGAAACCACTGGCAGATTTGGGTCCAAAGCAACTTGGTTTTATGTGTGTGTGTGTGTGTGCGCCATTGTGTGAGGATACAAAGCTATGGGAACCAAAGCCCACGTTAGCAGAGCAGAGCTGTAGCCTCGCCAGCATCGAGAGAGGCTTTAATCCTGTGATTCACTGCCGATCTCCTCTGACCGACTGACCCACAGGAAGGCAATAACAGGAATCAACCTTTGAATGACTTTTATTAAAGAAATTGCACTTTTACATCAAACCATGTCTTCCAATAAGGAACCTTTGCACTCCCAGCGGGGAAAGTCTTTTATTGATGGAGTATATTTTTCTGAGGCAAAACGTTTTGTGTGGTTGTATTTGTGGCCGGGGAGTGAGAGACAGAGCTCCTCTCTGTGCTCAGCAGCGAGCCACCTCTCGCACCATCGCTGCTTGGCTCCATTTGACGTGGGACCTTTGAGTAACTCGGTCGCAGGTCCAAGCCTGAAATTATAGTCTGCTCGCTCCGGGCTCCATTCCCTGTGAGCTCACTAACAGTCCAGGCTGTGTGTGTATACAGTAAACCTCACATAAGTTGTATCAGTTGGGACCATATAGTTAATATGACTTGTGCAATGTACAGTAAAACTTGTATACTTGGCATAAGTCGTATTAAATCTATGGTCCCAACTGATATGATTTGTGTGAGGTTTTACTGTATGAGTTATGTCAAACTTGCATAGAATATAATTTCCTGAACAGGACTCAAGCAGATGTACCACTTAGGGCGATTATACGACTTATACAGATCAGACTTGTGTGGGTTTTACTGTATTGCCCGCTCCCTCACACGTGGAATAATCTTGATACTAAATTGGTCAACAATCCTGTGAGATTATCACAGCGCTTTTTTGGTTGAGTGGTTTAAATGGGTATTTTTGTATTTTAAACGCACCTGAATCAGCGTTGCAGTGTGAAGCTGGGACCAAAAGTTATTTGAAATAAAGGGCTTTATTTCCTTTTTAATCCAAAACACAGCCTGGGCAGCCAACACTGATCAGACTCCCATTCCCATCCATCTAACTAACTAACTAACAGGATTGACCCCGGCAGCACTTGACCGCTTAACCCTTTCCTTTCCAGCGATTGATCCCTTAGCTTTCTTCCGCGGGGGTGGGAGAGGAGGAGGGAGAGAGGGGAATGGGCAACGTGAAAGGCTTCCTGAATAACTGCACCAAAAGAAACAAGCAATCATCAAACCTCTTCAATTTAATTCTGGAACATTGAATAATATTCAGACGTTTGTGTGAAATGAGCTCTGGCCAGTACAAAGGAGGGCAGATGGGGTTAAAAGTGCATTTTTCCTTTTGTGGTTTTATTTTTCATTTAGTTTTTTTTAAAAAAACAACATAATTAGCATCTTGTTTTCCGAGTTCTGTCTGCTCTTTGTCCGAACAGGGGGCCAAGCAGGCTGCCTCACTAAACCGAGAGAACGATCTGACCGATCCTCTGTTAAAATAACTGTATTTTTCCCTGTTTGCGAGACGTATCAATGGGCTTTGAAAGTCAGGAACGGATTCTGTGGCGTTACTGTATTTATTTGCAAATGAGATTTAATCTGTATATTTTTGTGATTTTATTTCCCTCTTCTCTCTCCCTCCCTTGCCTTGCCCTGACCCGAACTGGTCGCTTCGAGGTGTTTTATTTTGCGTTCTTTTTCCTTTCAAACGAAACCGAGTCGGTCTGCGAAAATCTCTGTGTCCGCCTCAGTACGTTTTCTACCCTGCAGCAGACTAGAGCCCCTTATTGACTGTTAAGAGATGACTGAAACCTGATTCCGAGACCAGCAAATTCACCTTTCCGTTTGACCAAGCAACCCAGCCAGACCTTTGTCATTCTTTCCCTCTAATAACTTGGCACCAATTTTCCAGTTTAGGATTGTCTTTTTGTAGTCCTTTCTCGACCTGCACGTCGTCATTCGGACGTGAATTAGTGCTATTGAAACATCGCTCGTTCCCCACGCACTATTGACACATGCAGTATCGTTTGGAGAGAAAGAGAGAGAAAAAAGTGTATTATATTTCTCTATTAAAAAATAATTTTCATCTGTTGTGAATTTATTCCCCCTTTCTTAAAAGAAAGTCACGTTTGGTGACTTGAACCCCAGGAGGGTTTTATTGATGCAGTTTTGTGTTGATTTTTTAAATATATAATCATTTTATTTCAGCTAGCGCTTGTTAATAGAAAGTCTCAAAGGATCCATTGTCATTTCTGTCGAGGAGAGTGACTGTTTTGTGGGCAAACACAGAAACATCTTGCAGACAGCCCTGAGATGATAAATTGGTCATTTGTCCCAGAGCTATTTGTGGGACATTGCTGGGTGTAACTGGCTGCCGCATTTCACCCAGTCACTCCATTTTACAACAGATCTCCAATTTCTCAAAGCGCTTCACAGGATTCAACAACAACAACAAGATTCCATTTATAGAGCGCCTTTCACGTCGGGAGGACATTCACTGCAAAGTAGTGTCTATATGTTTTGTAGGCAAATGTGGCAGCCGATTTGTGCAGAGCGATATCCTACAAAGAGCCATGAACTGAATGATCAACTCCTGTTAACTCTACAAGCCAAAGACGTAACAGGTAAGGTGGTCCTAACTGGACAAGCGGTGGGAAAGCATCAATGACAAGCTATGTGTGGGTTTAGCTGGTTAGATTCCAGCAGTTACCCCAACCCATACACTGGGGTCCCCAAGCCTTGGCTCTTGCCAACGTGTGTCTAATACTTTCTGGAATTAGGTTAGCAGGATATGTCCCTCCAGAGAGTGCACATTTCACTCCCAACAATCTATCTGGGATTTCCACGTCTGGTGGGACGTGTGCAATTTAGATGGTTCATAGTGATGGGTTTCCGCATGTGCCAGACACCCAGCTGGCCAAAGAAAAACTGAATGGCCAATTGTGGATTGTCCAAAACACCAGGAGAAACTCCTGTTTTTAAATCGTGCCCTGGGATCTTTAATATCTACTTGAACAGGCAACGGGGCCTCAATTCAACGTCTCACCTCAACAACAATCGGTGTTTTGGACTGTCAAGATAGATGATATGAGTTCCAAGTCCCGACGTGGGGCTTAAACCCAGAACCTTCTGACTCAGAGGCAAGAAACCGAGACTGGGAAAGGCTGACACCCAAACACACAATGAGCTGAATGGCTTCTCTGTGCAGTAAATGGCTATGGGTTCCCCACAGAGCAGGGATTTGTATTATTCCTTTTTGGTTGTGTTTTGAGTTTGACCCAAGGCCTCTAGGAAAGGTTGGGAGGGCAGCATTGGAGCCAAGCAGTTGCCAAGACGATCTGAAAGTTTGTGAGATTGGACGGGTCGAGGGGTGGGGGAAAGGAATGTTACGCTGGGATTTTCCATGGTGATTTCTGAGCTGGTTTCAGTCATAAGATCACATTCCGCTGATGGATTACACCACCCGAGGCGTTCGCCCATTCCCAGCCAGCTTTGTGTTTCTGTACTCTCGGTGGTTGAACAGTAACCTCAGTCACTCCCCAATGACACTAACAAGCAAACTTAGTGTCTGAAAAACACTGATTGTTGTTGAGGTGAGATGTTGAATGCTGTGTCTCCAAACAAGTGTCCAAACCCAATTACTGAGGGGTTCCTCTAAGGGGTGAAAATGTTTGTGAATATTTATCTGGCATGGAATGCACTCTCTCTCCCTGGAGGGACTCACCCTGTTTACATAATTTCTGAGAGTCAGGATCGACATCCTGACTGATAATCTCCCAGATAAAATCAATTCACGCCGGTTTGTGGGGCATTGGTGTGCAATATACAAAACTGACTGCCACAAAATGCACAGTCATTACACTTAACAGTAAAATCCTGTGACGCGCTTTGTAAAATCTGAACGTAATAAGGCGCGATATCAAATGCAAGGATTTTTATTATCTATTAATATAACTCTGCGTCAGTCAGTGTATAACGCTGTGTGTAATATTCTCGTCAGTCGGTGTGTGTAACTCTCACTCTCTGTATATCACTCTTTGTGTAACACACCCTCTCTGTGTAAGTCTCTCAACCTCTATATCATCCTCTGTAAGTCTGTATCTCCCTCTCTCTGTGTAACACTCTCTGTATATCACTCTCTCTGTATAACACTCTGCATATCACTTTCTCTGCATAACACTCTGTGTATCACTCTCTCTGTAAATAACACTTTCTGTAAATAACACTTTCTGCATATAACATTCTGTATATCACTCCCTCTGTATAATACTCCCTGTATATCACTCTCTCTATATATAACACTCTGTATATCACTCTCTCTGTCTCTCTCTGTATAACACTCTCTGTATATCACTATCTCCCTGTATATCACTCTCTATATATAACATTCTCTGTATATCACTCTCTGTATAACACTCTGTATATCACTCTCTCTGTCTCTCCGTTTAACACTCTGTATATCACTCTCTCTGTCTCTCTCTGTGTAACACTCCCTGTATATCACTCTCTGTATAACACTCTGTATATCACTCTCTCTGTGTAACACTCCCTGTATATCACTCTGTATATCATTCTCTCTGTGTATAACACTCTCTGTATATCACTCTCTCTGTATGTACCTCGAACACTGGTTCCTCTCGTGCTATTGGTTGACCTTCTTCCCTCGCCTCAACCTACCTTGGAGTGCCGTGTGATTGGTCGGGGCGGGGGGCATCGGCCGGCTGTGATTGGCTGGCCCCGCCCATTTAGGGGCGTGGCGCGGCGGCGAGGAGTTTGGTTGCGCGGGCGGCCGGGAAACCAAAGATGGCGGCGGCTGCGGGGAGGCGGGAAGCGGCCCGCAGCCCGGGGCTGGCGCTGCGGGGCGCCGCCGGGCTCTGCGCGCTGCTGGCCGGCGTGGCGTCCGCCCGGGAGCCGGGGCCCGACGGGGTGCAGGTGCTGGGGGTCAGCCTGGACAGCAGTAACCGCAGCAGCGCCTACATGTGGGCGGGGGAGATCCGCGCGCGACCCGGGGCCGACTTTCTCCTCAGGGTGTTCGGCCTCGGGCTGGCGGCGGCCCCGTGGCCCTGGCTCGCCTGGAGCCGGGGCCTGGCGTGCGGCGACAACGATACCATCCTGGGGGGAGCAACGGGGGGGGAGCCGCCGCTGAGGCTGGAGCGGCCGCGGGAGAGCGGGGAGCACTGGGCGCTGGTGGCCGTCCGGGTGGCGCCGACTCTCGGCGGCAGCTTCTACCTGTGCGGCCGGTCTGACGCCAGCGGCTGGGCCTCTCCGTCGGGCGGCGACACCCGCCTCGTCCTCCTGGAGGCGGGGGAGGAGGAGGAGGAGGAGGAGCCTGACGAGGTCCCGGCGCCGCCGGCCTGGGCTCCGCTCTGGGCTCAGCTCGCGCTGATGGCGGCGCTGCTCGGCGCGTCGTGCGTCATGACGTTGCTGCGACGCGGCGCGCTCTGGCTCGAGCCCCTGGAGCTGCGGCTGGTGCGCACGCGCGGCGGCTCGGAGCGGGAGCGGCGGCGGGCGGCCGCGCTGGAGTCGCTGCGCGCGCGCGGCGGGGTCGGGGGCGGGGGCGGGGCGGGCGGCGTCGTCGGCGTCGGCTGCGGCGGCGGCAACCTGGTGCTGTGCGCGCTGCTGCTGGGCAGCGTGCTGACGAACGCGGCGCTGTGCGCGGTGACGCAGGCGGCGTGCGGCGCGCCGGCCGCCGGCGCCCTGGCCTGCGCCGCGCTGGTCTGGCCGCTGGGGGAGCTGCTGCCGCGCGGCCTGTGCTGCCGCTACGGCTTCGCGCTGGCCTCCTCGGCCGCCGGCCTGTGGCTGACCCGCCTGCTGGTGGCGCTGGCCTCGCCGCTGGCCCTGCCCGCCGCCCTGGCCCTCGACCTGGGCCTGCGCCAGGACCTCAGCGCCTGCTTCATCCGCCGGCGGATCCTGGAGCAGCTGCTGCGCCGGAGCCCCGGGGGCGGGGGCGGCGGCGGGGAGGGCCTGGGGCCCCGCCGGCTGGGCCCGGGCAGCGCCAAGGCGGCCGAGGACGTCATGACGCCGCTGGCGGACTGCGTCATGCTGAGCTCGGAGGCGGTGCTGGACTTCGTGACGCTGTCGCGGGTCCTGCAGAGCGGCCACGCCCGCATCCCGGTGTTCGAGGGCGCCGAGCCCTCGCACACGGTCGACGTGGTCCACGCCCGCGACCTGGCCCGGGTGGACCCCGAGGACCGGGCCCCGCTCAGCGCCATCACCCGCTTCTACGGGCGGCCGCTGCACTTCGTCTTCAACGACACGCGGCTGGACGCGGTGCTGGAGGAGTTCCGGCGAGGTGAGGAGTCAAGTACCCCGGCGACGCGCGCCGGCGCCCCCCTGCGGTCGCCGTGGCGTAGCGGTTAGCGCGCCCGCTTGGGAACCCCGGGACGGCGGGTTCGATTCCCCCCCCTTTCCCTCCACTTTTCAACGATGATTATAATAATAATGATGATTGTTATCATTATAATAATTCTAATAATAATAATTCTAATAATCGTCATCATCACAATAATCGCTGCATTTTAATGAGGCGCCTTTGCGTTGGGTCGTGGCCCGCGCAGCACACAGTCACTACACTTGGCGGCGCCGCCCCCGCGAAGCGCTTCCAGACGTCTCAGAGCGTCGGAGTTTATTATTACTTATTAATTATTGCCATTGTCGTTATCGCGTCTTCGAGACGTCTGTCGTCCCGGCGAATGGATTTGTTCCGCCGGTGGGGGAGCGATCGACACATTTGTGACCGTAGTAATAATAATAATATTAACAATAATGGAAATGTAACGGCGTCGTAATAACTGTCAAAAAGAAAACCGATGGCGGAGCTGCGGTTGTTATTTGTCTTCACGTAGTTATCGCGTTATTGTTCGCGCTGTTAATTTAAAAGAAATATAACCACCACCACAATGATGACAGTAATAATATTAGTAGTAATAATAATAATACTCCTGGCCTTTGACCCCGGTCGCCTTGTCGCGCCGTCGCGACGTCTCGAAGCGCTTCACGAGCCGCAAAAGTGTAGTGTAGTGACTGCGCGTTTGGTGGGCGACGTCCCCCACAAACAGCCGTGGACTGAGCGGCCAAATTATTTCTATTTCTTAAAGGGATCGTTAGCCCCGGAAAGTGATCGGCCGATCGACTAACAGCCGGGTTCCTAATTACTGCCGAGTAAACAACAGCGACAACTTGTACATACATATATATATATATATACATTTACATACATGGCGCCCTGCGCGCGGGTTAGTGTCCCGGAGGCGTGTGGAGTAAAGAAATGTACCTAAACGTTTCGTCCTACCCGCTCGCGAGAGGGCAGCGCGATCACCACTACCCCCACAGGACTCCGCGCTACGAGTCAACGCGGAGGTTTCGGGGGATCTGTGGGGCTGTTCAGTCCCACCGAGGATCGCTCGCTCGCTCGCTCGAGGCTGGTAACGCCCGCCTCTCGTCTTCCTCCCGCTTCCAAGGCAAGTCCCGCATGGCGATGGTGCAGAGAGTGAACAACGAGGGCGACGGAGACCCTTTCTACGAGGTGTTGGGTTTGGTGACGCTGGGCGATGTCATAGAGGAGATCATCAAGTCGGAGATCCTCGAGGAGTCAGACACCTGTAAGTCCCCCCAGCGTCGCGGAAAGGTGTGTAATTATTATATCAATATATCGCTTTAACAGTATCTCTCGTCAAGCGCTTCGAGACGCCTCGACGACGTGATAGGCTGCTCTATCAAATGCACGGGTTGTTGTTGTTGTTGTTAAACGCCTGCTGGGAGAGTTTGCGTTTAAGCTGTGACTGACGGGAGGAAGCGCGGGTGGATGGAAGAGTGTCACGTCCTCGGTTTGTCTCGAGATCGTGGTTTCCAACCGTGCCTTTGAGTCGCCTTTCCATCCCCCCCCCCCCCCCCCCCTTGCCTTGCCCTCCACCCCTCTAGATTCAACACCCCACACCCCCCCCACCACCCCCACCCCCACACCCCCATCTCAGTTGCAAACCCTTCACTGTCCAGCGTATTGGGACGTCCTCCCGACGTGAAAGGCGCTATGTAAACGTGTGTGTGTCTCTCTCTCGGTTTGCGTAGGTGTGTATGTCTGTGTGTGTGGGAGCACGCGTGTGTGTGTGTGTGTGTGCGCGACCGGAAAAAGACTGAGCAAGAGGAGGACATGAGTAATGAGAGAGAGAAGAGCTACTCCCCACGCCTCTCTCTCCCTCGTGCCTCTCTTACACTCGCCCCTCTCTCTCTCTCTCTCTGCTCCTCTCTGCACCCCGATCCAGCACAGGAAAGAGGACCTCACGCACTTCAAGATCTCCGACAACGACGCAAAAATCAAGATCTCCCCACAGCTTCTCTTGGCCACTCAGCGCTTCTTATCAAAAGGTACGGCGGGCGGGGGGGGTTTGGTGTGGGGGGCAGTGTTTGAGTGGGTGGGGAGGGGGGTTGGTTAATCACTGCCATCATAACCCCCCACCCTTTGCAGAGGTGGAGCTGTTCAGCCCGGCCCGGGTGTCGGAGCGGGTTCTCCTGCAGCTCCTGCGGATGCCCAGCGTGACCCAGGAGGTCAGGTTCGATGAGAACGACAAGTGGGCTCCGCAGCACTACCTGTACCAGCGCAATCAACACGTCAACTACTTCATCCTGGTGCTACAGGTGAGCAACGCCACTGGGCGCCATCGCACGCACACGCACACGCGCACACACGCACACACGCCACCCCCAGGGGGCGCCGTTTCCTCTTCGTACCCGCGCTCCCTGTGCACAGCTCTGCGTGGAGCTCCAGGCCATCCAGACATCCCCTGCTCCTTATTATCATAATTAATATAATAATAATTAATAGTAATGACACTTGCATTTGGTGTATGTTACTAACACAACAACAACAACAACAAGATTCCATTTATGGAGCGCCTTTCACGTCGGGAGGACGTCCCAAGGCACAGTGTGTGTGTGTGTGTGGGCGGAGGGGGCAGTGCGTGGGCGGAGGGGCAGTGCGTGGGCGGAGGGGGCAGTGCGTGGGCGGAGGGGGCAGTGCGTGGGCGGAGGGGGCAGTGCGTGGGCGGAGGGGGCAGTGCGTGGGCGGAGGGGGCAGTGCGTGGGCGGAGGGGGCAGTGCGTGGGCGGAGGGGGCAGTGTATTTGTAGGGTATAACGGGGTGTGTGTTACTCACAGGGCCGTGTGGAGGTGGAGATTGGAAAGGAGGGACTGAAGTTTGAAAACGGAGCCTTCACTTACTACGGTGTCTCAGCTCTGGCTGCTCCCTCCTCGGGTACCGTCTGTCTGTCTGTCAGTCTGTCTGTCTGTCTGTCAGCCATCGCCTTCCTCTTTGACCGTTGCCTACAGTCACCTCTCCCTCCCTTTAGCTCAGTGTTGTGCTCCGCGAGTGTGGGGGGTGGGGTGGGGAGGGGGTGTTGGGGCTGTGTAGTGCAAGTAGTTGTTGGTCAGTGTACGGTACACTAACCTGAGGAGTCTGATACCTTTGGGGTAATAATAATCCCTGCATTTAACACAGCCCCTTATTAGGTCTTCCAGACGTCTCAAAGCGCTTCACAGGATACACTGTCAAGTGTAGTGACAGTGTATTTTGTGGGTGAAAGGCGGCAGCGACGCCCCCACAAACAGCGGTGGATTGAGCGACCGGATTAGTATTTTGTTAGCATCGAACGAGCGGCCCGGAGATATCTTAACCTGACGCGGCGCTGTTTCTCCGCAGTTCCTTCGTCGCCGGCCGCTAACAGGAAGTGGAGCTGCCGTGATCCGTTTCCCAGGGAGCAGGCGGGGAGCGGGGAACCCATCACCTACTGCCCCGACTACACCGTCAGGGCTCTCAGCGAGCTGCAGATCGTCAAGGTGAGAGCGACGGGAATCGCTGGCGTTCGAGGGCAACCGTGTGCTCGCGTTTCACCCACAAAACGCACAGTCGCTACACTGGACGGTGTGTCCCGCGGAGCGCTTGGAGACGTCTCTTAAGGCGCGATGAGGCGCCGGGTCAAACGGCAGGACTGTTATTGTTAACAGCAGCACGTTCTCTGTTCCTTCTCCAGAGAAAATTCTCTTCCTCTCTCTGTCTCTGAGTGCCCTCTCCCCCTCTCTCTCTCTCTCTCTCTCTTCTCTCTCCTCGCTCCCTATTTTTCCCTCCCCTCTCTCTCTCGCTCCCTCTCTCACTCCCCCTCTCCCTCTCTCTCTCTGCCCAGGTCACCCAGATGCAGTATTTGAACGCGATTATGGCCTCGAGGACACACGGCTCATCCCCATCGCCCGACACCTTTGAGCTCAAGGTGATGCCGTGCAGCCGGACCACGAGACTGAGCGATCAGAACGCCTCACAGGGTAAGTGTCCATGTGCGACTGGCATCCGGATAGACAGTGGGACGCGCGTGTGTGGGTGTAGTCAGCGTTGTGAGGTGTGTTTGGTCAGTGCTCTTTGTGTTTATGTGTGTGTGTGTGTGTGTGCAGTGAGTGCGTGTGTGGTACAGTGTTGTGAGTGTAGTCAGCGTTTGTGAGAGTGTGTGTGTGTGTGTCAGTATGTGTGTGGTCAGTGTTTGTGTGTGTGTGGTCAGTGCTGCAAGTGTGTGTGTGTGTGTAGGCTGTGTATGTGAGTTGTGTGTGTGTGTGGGTGTGTGTGTGAGGTGTGTGTGTGAAGTGTGTGTGTGTGAAGGCTGTGTGTGTGAGTTGTGTGTGTGGTGTGGTGTGTGTGGTGTGGTGGTGTGAGGTGTGTGTGTAGGCTGTGTGTGTGAGTTGTGTGTGGGTGTGTGTAGGCTGTGTGTGTGAGTAAATATAAAGAGAAATAATCATAATGTGTGCTGTTTGCTGCCCTCACACTGATGAGAGATGTCAGTAATTCCCCATCACTCTGCCTCACTCTCTCTCCCACTCTCTCTCTCTCCCTTCCCCCCACTCTCTCTCTCTCTCTCTCTCTCTCTGTAGCTGCTGCCCCAAACTGACCTGAACGACGGGAAACCAAAAGCCTCGATTTTTAAAACGTCTGTTGTTGCTGAGAGCTGTGACGGAGACCGTTACTGAGCTGAAACGGTGGTGAGACCAAGTGGGAGCTCAATCCCCACGTTTACCCTCGGAGCAGATCCGCACCCCCTCCTCCCCTCCCCCTCCCCATAGCCCCCGCTCCCCCCGTCTCTCTGCCACCAACGTCAACTAATCCCCGTGGAAAACAAGTGTCTGCGGAGTGCGGGCTGTGGGGAACAGGAGTTTCCGGAAGGGCAAACATTTCCCTTATTTTTCTAGTTAGGAAGACTGGAGATGATAATAATATTATTAATAATAATAATAATCCTTGCATTTGATACAGCTCCTTCTCACGTCCTTGAGGCGTCTCAAAGCGCTTCGCGGATTAGACCGTAAAGCGCAGTGACTGTGTTTCGTGGGCGGGTGAGACGCGGCAGCGATGAACTTGAGATGAGACGAACGTAACGTGCGATTCTTACCTCCTAACGCATAGCCTTTGTGTCATCAGAGTTCCCCTTCCCTGTCAGGGGTTTAGATTTGGTCCTGAATGCAAAATAACAGCTGCGGATTTAACCTTTTAATGAATCGTTTGATTCACAAAGGTCTGTAGGGCTCGTCAAGGCTTTGAGTAGGGGGTGTCATCGTCTCTGATTCAGGTGATTCTATCCCTTGGGTTGCATCGACCATTGATGCAGTATTTTGATTGTCCAGCCTGACGGAATATGAGAGTCATTTTATAAACATAATTCTCGATCCCTTGTCTAGCCAAAGATTCCCAATAATAATAATAATAATAATTATAATAATCCTTGCATTGGATACAGCGCCTTATCACGTCTTCGAGACGTCTCAAACCGCCTCACAGGACACACTGTAAAGCGAATTGACTGTATATTTTGTGGGCGAAATGCCAAATGTAGAAGCCGAGAGAAATCTACAAGTGCCATTGAATCAAATCAGCCATTTCCAGTGTTTTATACCCTCTCTGGTTTGGGCTCCAATGTTGTTTGCAATCGGCGGCTTAGTTCTGATGAGCCGAGTTCTGATCTGTTTGCGAATGTGTGAGAGATATCTTAATTTCAAATGAAATCGTGTAGTGTCGTTTGTATGTACGTTTATACCGTAATATCTCAGAGAGATTTTTATTAAAGAGTAAGTGGTGAGTGTTCGTTGTACTGTGTTCTGCCATTATAAGCAGTTGAAGCGTTAAGAGATTTGGATTGCAGGTCAGTTTAATAAATCTTTTTCTGCACCGGTTTTGCAACCTCGTTCCTCGTGGTCATGTTTTCCAATAGCCATTTGGGTACAAGACGTAAGAGTGTGTGTCAGTGTCTGTGCTGGGGGCTCGCTCCCCCACTCTGCTCTCGCCCCATTCCCTGCTCTCTCTCTCTCTCTCTCTCTCCGTCGTGTCTGTGCTGGGGGCTCGCTCCCCCACTGGAGCTCTCTGCTCTCGCCCCATTCCCTGCTCTCTCTCTCCCTCTCTCGCTCGCTCTCCCCATCGTACCTGCGCTGGCGCTCGCTCCCCCACCTTGCGCCTGACATGGCGCCTTACCGCGCCGTTGAGACGTCTCAAAAGCGCTTCACAGGATACAACCGTAAAGTGTCGTGACCGTGACAGTCTGTGGGCGAAACGCGGCAGCCAATTGCGCCCGGGAGGGTCCCCATCCCCCCCCACCGCCCCCCCACGCAAACAGCTTGAAGAGATTGAGGCGACTGACTGTTTGTGACGGCATAATAATGGCACAGTGAGCCTCGGTGGTGATGTCACGGAGTTTGGGGGTGAATCGAGTTGTCTTGCTCTGTGCAGCCACCCGAGGAGCCCGTGGAGGACAGGATGTTGGGTTGGGAGGATTATGTGACCAGTTTGCTGGCAGATGGACTGTGTCAGGACGCCGCCGTCTTTGCCTCCTCCTGTCCGAGGCTGCTGGCTGCCAAGGAAGAAGGTCTATTGGAGCAAATGAGCCCGAAGGTTTCAACGTTCCTCGCAGTTGTCCCTCTCTCACCTGATCACCACCTCCCCCACCCCCCACCCCCCCCCAACCCCACCCACTCCACCACTCGCTGCTTTCCCCTCGACTGGATCCAGCCCCACGTATGTCCCTCGTGCTCTCCGTTCCATCGGACACCGCCCACACTTTCAGCCACTACGTCTCGAAGCTCTGCAACTCTTCCCCCCCCCCCCCCCACCACCCCAATCCCCCCACCTACGCCACCCAAATCTTCCTTCTTCAAGTCACTCCCTCCCTCCCTCCCGGCTTGGCATCGTGCTCCACCACTGTCAAGCGCTCTGGAACTCTACCCTGCGTGGGGTAGGGGGGCGCGGGTGCTGTATAAGTCATTGCTTTTGAAGCCCTCGTTCCTCCCCACCTCTATGATCTGCTAACTCCATATAGACCTGTCCTCTCCCTCCGCTCAGCGGGCTCCGGCCTGCTTCACGTCCCCCGCCCGGCCCTCCCCACCATCAGAAGCCGAGCCTTCAGCCTCTGGAACTCCATCTCACTGTCCCTCCGCCTCACTCCCCTCCCTTGCCTCCTTCGAAGCCCGTCTCAAGACCCTTCAACTGCACCTTCGGTCACCCTCCTAACCCCCGCCCTCCCCTCCCTCCATCCCCTCCTGATACCAACCCCCAGCTCGGGTCCAAAACCCTGACTGTCCTTGGGACGTCCTCCTGACATGAAAGGGCTCCGTGTAAATGTCATTTGTTGTCGTTGAAGGAAATCAGGATGATCCTGAGCTGCGATCGGAAAGGCTTCCTGGTCAGGGGGCTGACCATCAGCGGGAGGAAGTGCTACGTTATCCGGGATAACTTCTACATGGACGGGGATGACACCATGGATATCCGGATGAAGAGGCAGGAAGGTACACCATGCCTCAGCCTGGCCATCGCCAGGTCAAAGAAGGTGTTCATCATCATCATGGGGAAGCAAGGCATTCACGGAGGAACTCTCAATAAAAAGGCGTTTCAGATGGCCACTTACATCAGGAAGTCTGGCTGTTAGCTCGAACCTTTGTAACCCCCAGAACAAATTCCTACGGTATCTCTCTGTGGCTATATTTTCCTCCAGATTTCATAAACTATTTCATTTCTTGTAACTGTGCTTCCCCAGCGACTTATTTTGAGCCTCAGACCTTAGATTAATGATAGTAATAATAATAATAATCCTTGCATTTGGTATTGCGCCTGATCGGGTTCCGCAGAATATACTGTAAAGTGTGGTGACTGCATTTTGTGTGGGCGAAACGCGGCAGCTGACTGCGCACCGCAGCGTCCCCACAAACCCCCGTGGATCGAGTGAGCCAATTATTATTATTTTTAATTCATGAAAGGGATTGTTACCCCCGGAAAGCGATCCACCAATCTACTAATAACCGGGTTCCCACTTACTGCTTGGTAAACGGAGCTGCGTGGAATAAGGAAACTGGTCCAAGGTTTCGCCCTGGTCCGGGAATCGAACCCGGATCCTGTTGCTTGCGAGGCGAGTGCTCTCGCTGCAGGACACCGCCACATAACGCCCGCGAATGATACGAACCTCTCACCTTGCAGATAATCGGGCTGCGGTTCCTAATTAGAATTGTGAAAAGACAAATGATCGCAGCGCGAGCCGCAGCAACCGGACTGATTGCTACGGAAACCTCTTCTACGTAGTCGGCACTTTCAGGTAAAGTGACCATTACGGAGCGAAGTTCTTTGAACACAGATTGAAATGACGTGCGTTTCCCACTCCACCGCCTTTTAAACAAAGTTACATCATCATTTTTCGGTGGGGGGGGGTCACCCGGGCGTCTGAGACGCGCGGAAACCCATCACCGTTGCTGAAGAGTCTCCAAACCCAACTGGAAATCCCAGAGAGAGAGATTGTCGGAATGAAATGCTCTCTCTCTCTCTCTCTCTCTCACTCACTCTCTCTCTCTCTCTCCCTGGTTTACCTAATTACTAGATTTCACTTAAAATCTCCAAATGCCACCCTTACTTTTTCAACGGCTCCGAATTGAATCCGATTGACCCGCGGAGGAAAGACAAGAATTTCGCCTGAAAGCCACTGGGAAACTGATGGCATATTCTTGGAACGCAGCGTCGAGCAATAATAATCCTTGCAATAAGAATCCCGTCTTTACGTTGTGAGATTATATTGCGTCTCGCGCTTTCACGCTCCTGTTTACCTAATTCCAAAGAGTGACCAATTTTATTTGGGGAATGGTTGGCCGGGATACACCGGCAGAGAGAAACTCCTTTCTCTTCTCATGGCATCGTTAACGTCACCTGAGCACATCACCTAAGGAGGAGAGGACCAGGGACGGAGCCCTGAGGAACGCTGTACGTGATGGTGCGGAGGGCTGGAGGTGAAGCTGTTCAGCAGATACAAATTGGAGACGATGGAAAGGTAATGCCGATTAATATTAATCATAATCCTCGCATTTGATACGGCACCTTTATCATGTCATTCAGACGTCTCAAAGCGCTTCACGGGATCGATGCGCTGCAAAGTGCAGTGACTGTGTATTTTGCGGGCGGAACGCGGCAGCACAATTTGCGCACAGAAGTGTCCCAGCGAGCAGTCGTGAAGTGAGCGACCAATTTTACTGGGGGCGACTTGGCCAGGACATCATCGGGAGAGAGAGAGAGAGAGAGAGAAGCGGACAGAACCGGGAAGGTAGAGCTGAGATCAATGGAATGATTGTCACTCAACTTGACACCCTAACGATAGAGCTCTCACTAACAGTCTGTCTGTCTGTCTGTCTGTCTGTCTGTCTGTCTGTCTGTCTGTCTGTCTGTCTGTCTGTCTGTCTGTCGGTCTACAGTGGATAGAAGCAGCAAATCAGCCACATGACTGTACAGTTATTATAATTATTATGATAATAATAATAATAATAATTGGGCAAGTTTCCTTACTCCATGTGCCTCTATTTACCGAGCAGTAAGTGGTCGATTGGAAGGATCGCTTTTCCCGGGGTAACAATTCCTTTTTAAAAAATAATAATAATAATAAATTGGTCACTGCTCGTGGGACACTTCCGTGCGCGATTGGCTGCCGCGTTTTGCCCGCAAAATGCACACAGTCACTACGCTTGGCGGTACACGCCGCGAAGCGCTTTGAGCTGTCTTGAAGACCCGATAGGGCCCGGTATCAAACGCGAGGATTACGGTTATTATCGTAAGAATAATGATAACGACTATCTCTGCAGTTGATCGAAGCAACGTATCGCGTCGTCGAGAGGTCCGGGAGCTGCTGTTCCTCAGCTCAGGAGGTGCTGAAAGCATCTGAAAGCTCTATTGTGGGTGTTTTTCGGACCAGACCGAGAGCAAAGCCACATCCCAGTCTCTAACCACTTCAACGCCACTTGATTCTCTCCTCTCTCTCTCTCTCTCTCTCTCACTGCCAATCCGGCGGTTGAGGCTGTGAGCACAGGGAAGGTTTGGTTCGTGTGTGTTTACGGCTTCTTTGGGCAGAACACTTGAGGTCCCGCACACTGCGTGCGTGAATTTTATTGTATTTTGTGATTGTAATTTTATAATGTTGCGTTGCTATTACATTGCATCATTGGGAATGTTGTCGCATTTATCGTTGCATGATTATTATATTCTTAATGTCATTGTATTAGATTGTATTCTTAATATTAAGGCATTTTATTATTGTCACATTAGTAATATTATTGTAAAATAATAATCCTGGCAGTTGATATATCGTGTTGCTGAGATGTCTCAAAGCGCTTCACAGTATATATGTTATTTTATTGTATTTTATTAATATTATTGTATTTTATTTGGTTATTATTATTGTAATACTGGATTAATATTAATATAATTGTGCCTTAAGGACACTTGCGTAGGCGATTGGGTGGGCAAGGATCAGGATTAGACTGCAACTTGTCTTTGACCGGTCTCCGAATAATTCAAAAATATTAAATTAATAATAACTGAAGTTAATAGATTGAATTGAATTCGGAACTTGGTCGGTGGCTTCCTCTGCAAACGGTAACTTTAAAAAAAAAACACACAAATATACGGCGAAAACAAAGTCGGCCGAAGCAATTTCGCTTACGGTCTAATTGTCTCTTTGCTCGGGGACACTTGTTGTCTCAAGTGATGCAAAACTTTGTGATCTTCCTGACTCCACACAGCGAAGGGAAGGCATCTCACCCCCAAAAGATGCCTTATTGATCTGTGCTTACGGTCACTTCCCCCCCTCCCTCTCCCCCTGGCTCGCGGTCAGGCTCCGCTAACTCACGTGAAGGGTGCCATATAAATATAAAAATAAATCCAAGTTGCTGTTGTTCTTCTTCTTCTTCTTCCTGCCAGGAAGATGGGAACTCTCCGCCATCTCCAGTTGGCTCTGCGAGAGAAGATCGAGGAGTTGAGGCAGAGGGACGCTCTGATAGATGACCTGGAGCTGGAGTTGGACCAGAAGGACGACTTGATTCAGAAGCTACAGAGGGAGTTGGATAAGTACCGATCTGTCCTGCGACCATCAGCGCAGACAGAGGAGACCAACCAAGCCCAGGAGCACCAGCGAACCAAACGCCAGGCCATCTCCGCTGAGCCCACCGCCCTGGACATCCAGCAGATCAGCGACGTCAGCCTTCCCTGTTTCTCCAAAAGCCCCCAGTAAGTGGCTTCAAGCCTCCGATTCATTTACACCGTGTCCCGCGAAGCGCTTTGAGACGTCTGGAAGACGCGATGAGGCTCTGCATCGAACGCGAGGATTATTATTTATTGTTCGCCCATTTCCTCCTTGTGTTGCTGTGGAGTCCTGGAGCTCTCGCTTCGCAAGCGAGAGGACCCGGGTTCGATTCCCGGGCGAGTCAGGGCGAGACCTTAGGCACGTTTCGATGTGATAATAATAATAATAATAATAATCCTTGCATTGGATGACACATCTTATCAAGTCTTTGAGACGTCTCAAAGCGTTATATCGAATGCAAGGATAATTATGGTCTCTTTGCTCGTGCCCACGGTCACCTCCCCTCCCCTCTCCCCTCGGCTCAGTGTCGTTCGCCGCCGCGGTCAAGCCCTCTGGGGACGCTGTCCTGCGTGAGGGGGTGGGCGCTGTGCGGTGAGGTGACCGACGGGGCTCAGAGTTGCAGCTCCCCATCATCTCTCGAACTGTGCGTGAAACAGATCAAAGGAGCTGATCAAAGGGGCCATCATGGAGAACGACTTCATGAAGAATCTGGAGGTGTCCCAGATCCAGGAGGTGGTGGATTGCATGTACCCAGTGGAGTTCATCGAGGACAGTTACATCATTGAGGAGGGGGATGTGGGCTCCCTCGTCTACGTCATGGAAGGTAGGAGATTGGGGGATGGGGTGGTGGGGTGGGTTGGGGTGGAGAGGGAAAGGGGGGAGTTAGACACTTCATCGTCACTCTTTGATCGTGCCTTCGGCCAGACCACCCCCCCCCCCCACCCAGCCCTGCCCTCCACCCCTCCTGACGCCAACTCCTGCGCCCTGGGACTTCTTTCCTTTCCGAGTGTAACTTGTTGTTGTTGTTCCCCCCACCAATCCCCCCCACCCCCACAACACACTCCCCCGCCCCCTCCCGCTCGCCAGCCCACTGCACCATTCCCCTGAGGTCCAATAGGAACACGGGAACAGGAGGAGGCCATTCAGCTTGTTGTCCAGTCGTGACTCCTGTAGCTCAGTGGTGAGCGCTCTCGCCTTTCAAACGAGAGGAGCCGGGTTCGATTCCCGGGCGGGTCAGGGCGAAACCTTGGGCGGGTTTCCTGTAACTCTGCTCTCCGCACGCACACGGCCTCTGGGTCGCGTGAGCAACAGGAAAATCCCATGACTGAGGAAAGGCTGTCAGCAGCACCTGGGCCGTGACCTCGGAAACAACACTGACAACAGCTGCTGATGACGGCTCCAGGGAATGGACGGTTCTTCACGAGCCCCAACAAAAANCCATCGTAATAAACCCACTCCACTGCCCACTGCCCCTGGCTCCTCGGCTGGCTCCGGCCTCCCGCTCGGCCACTCGTCCCCTCCTCCGCTCCACCATCAGGCACTAAGCTTTGGAATTCTCTCCCCAATCCCTCCTCCGCCTCGTCCCTCCCCTCCTTCCCCTCTTTTAGATCATGTGGGAAGACTTTCTCTTCGACCACGCTTATGGTCACCTCCTCAACTTCCCCCGGGAGCGAGGGAGGAAGAGAGGGAAGGAGGGAGGAAGGGAGGGAGAAAGGGAGTGGATAGGTGGGTGGGAGAGTGTTGGGGGTGTTTGAGTGTGGAGCAGTAACCAATGGCTTCACCTTACATAGACATACACAGTGTGATGGAGACCGCAATGACATCTCTCTCTTTCTCTTCTCTCTCACGCTCTCTTTCTCTCTCTCTGTCTCCTCAGAGGGGAAGGTGGAGGTGACGAAGGGGGATGTGAAGCTGTGTACGATGGGGCCGGGGAAGGTGTTTGGCGAGCTCGCTATCCTCTACAACTGCACCCGCACAGCCACCATCAAAGGTCAGCGCTCCAAGACCACTGCCCTGCGTGAGGGGCGCTATATAAGTTGTTGTTGTTGTTGTTGTTGTTAGCGACAGCTCCAGTCTCAGCCCAAACAACATTATGCCCTGTGGCTCAGAGTAATAATACTAACCCTTGCAGTTGATACAACAAATGTCCTGCAGCTCAGTGGTTAGGCCACTCGCCTCGCAAGCGAGAGGATCCGGGTTTGATTCCCGAAACGTTGGGCAAGTTTCCTTACCCCACACGTCTCTGTTTAGAACTTCAGCCTCTCTGCCCCCACCCTTTGGAACTCCATTCCACATTCCCTTCACCCCGCTCCCTCCTTGCCTCCTTCAAGGTCCATTTCAAGACCCTCCTCTTCCACCGCCTCTGCTACCCCTCCTGATCCCCACCACCAGCTCGGGCCCAAATCCCGGATTGTCCAGCGCCTTGGGACGTCCTCCCGACACGTGAGGCTCCGTGTAAATGGAATGTGCTATTGTTGTTGTTGTTGTTGGTGGTGTGTTTTGCAGCTCTAAGTAACGCCAAGCTCTGGGCTATTGACCGACAGTGTTTCCAGGTCATCATGATGAGGACCGGGCTGATCAAACACACTGAGTACATGCAGTTCCTGAGGAGGTGAGTGTGTGAAGCACCGACTAAGACACAGACACAAGCCAATTCGATAACAACAACAACAACTTGCATTTACGCAGCTCCCGTCATGCAGGGGAGTGGTGGAACACAATGGGGGGGGGGGGGGGGGAGGTGACAATGAGGACTGTTGAAGAGGAAGGTCTTCAGAGGCGACTTGAAGTTGGGGAGGGAGGAGGCAAGACAGAGGGATTGAGGGAGAGGGTTCCAGAGTTTCAAGGAATAGTGTCTGATAGAGTAGCTGCCGATGGTGGAGTGGAGGGCATGAGGGACAAGAAATTACCCCAAACATACACCGTGGGCTTTGGCTCAAAGTGTGGTCATTCTGGAAACCCATCACCGTTGCTTGAGAGTCTCCAAACCCAACTGAGAATTTCAAGTCTCCCATCTACACATGGAAATCCCAGAGATAGATTGTTGGAATGGAATGCGCTCTCTCTCTCTCTCCCTCTCCCTGGAGGGACGCGCCCTGCTTACCTAATTCTGGAGAGTATTAGGCGCAGGTTGGGAAGAGCCAAGGCTTGTGGGGGAGCCCAGAAGGTGCATTGGGGTAACGGCTAGAGTCTAACCAGCTAAAGCCGCAACATAGCTTGGCCATTGATATCACAGCTTTCCTGCTGCTTGCCCAGCTAGGACCACCCTCCCCGTTAGGGTCGACGATATCACAGTTAATGGAGCAAACACGGATTGTGAGCGTGACATGACACTAGGCAGTCTCTGCGTTTTATATCAGTTCTCATTGGCCATCACGTCAGTCAGCCAGGGTCATAGTCATGGGTTATGTCTGTCTTTCTCTCCCAATTCCAATTTTTTTCTCTCCAATATCTCCATTTCTGTCTCCAGCGTCCCCTCGCTCCAAGATCTACAGGAGGACATCATCAGCAAACTGGCAGATGTGCTGGAGGAGGTAATGGATTCACACAAAGCATGTCCACACCCCTCTATCCAACCACTACCACCAACAACACATTAACTTCACACAGCGCCTTTTATGTTGGGGGTCAGGGATTTGGACCCGAGCTGGGGACTGGGATCAGGAGGGGTGGAGGGCAGGGAGGGTGTGGGTGTAGGATGGTGACTAATGGTGCGATCGAAGAGGAGGGTCTTGAGCCGGGCCGTGAAGGAGGCAAGTGAGTGGGGGGGTGGAGGGCGAGGCGGACGGACTTATGGGATGGGGTTCCAAAGGGTGGGGGCAGAGAGGCTGAAGGGCCTAACTGCCGATGGTGGGGGGCAGATCGGGCGGGGGACATGGAGCAGGCTGGAGCCCGCTGAGCAGAGGGAGCGGGCAGATCTTTTCGGAGTTAGCAAGTAACCGTGGTTGACCGCTGTGCACTTCCTATTGGTTTCCCAGACTCATTACGAAAACGATGAGTACATAATCAGGCAGGGAGCCCATGGGGACACCTTCTTCATCATCAGCAAGGGCAAGGTGAGTATCGAGCTCTTCTCCTGGAGTTGTGCGTGTGTCGGAATAACTAATGGGACAACAGCAATGACCCTCGCGTTTGACCCGGCGCCTTATCCCATCTTCGAGACGTCTCAAAGCGCTTCACGGGATACACGGCAAAGTGGACTGTAGGATGAAACGCGGCGGCCAAATGCGCACAGAGACGTCCCCCACAAACAGTCGTGGATTGAGTGACCAAATTATTATTATTTTGGAGGGATTATTACCCCCGGAAAGCGATCCACTAATCGACTAACACCCGGGTTCCTACTGACTGCTGGTAAACAGAGCCATGTGCGTGCGTGCGCGTGTGCGTGTGTTTGTGTGTGGGGGGGTTAAGGAAACTGGCCCAACCTTTCGCCCTGACTGACCCGCCCGGGAATCGAACCCGGGTCCTCTCGCTTGCGAGGCGAGGGCTCTAACCACCGAGCTCCCCGGTATGATGAGGCGCCACTATGTTGTGCGTTGGCTTTGTTCCCGCAGGTGACTGTGACACGGCAGGATCCTGGCAACGAGGAGCCCATCTTTCTCAGCGCTCTCTCCCGCGGAGACTGGTTTGGAGAGAAGGCCCTACAGGGGTGTGTGTGGCTGCCGCCGGGAACGTCAAACCCAACTATTCTTTCTGCCAGTGGAACTGTCCAGGAAAAAAGGCTGGGGGCAGAGGTTCCGGCCACTCAGCTCCCGAGTGACCCTCGTGCCCTCGTGTTCCACCATCGGGGGCCCCACTTTTAGCCACTGCGCCCCGAAACTCTGTAACATTCTCTGCCAATCCCTGCGCCTTGCCCCACTCCTTCTCCATCTTCAGGTCGCGCTAGAAGACCTTCCTCTTCGGCCGTCCCCCATGGTCACCTCCCCCTCTCTCTCGATTTGGGTGTGTCAGCCCGGCTCAGTGGTATCGCTCTCACCTCTGGGTCAGAGGGTTGTGGGTTCAAGCCCCGGGAGCAGTCGGAGATGCCTTCCTTGAGATGAGATGCTAAACTGAGGCTGTGTATAAGGGAAGGGAGTGCTCCACTCGATACCATTCTATCGCCAATGACTCCAATGATTGGAGTAACAAACCAATGACTCACTCGGACTTTCCTCTCCCTCTTCCAGAGAAGATGTGAGGACCACAAACGTTATCGCAGCTGAGGACGTAACCTGCCTGGTGATTGACAGAGAGTGAGTCTTTCTGACCGATGATCGGAGCAGTAACTTAACGGGAAGAATCTTTGCATCTGATACAGCCCCTCATCACGTCGTCGAGACGTCTCGAAGCGCTTTATACTATGATACTATAAACCGAATTGACTGGGTATTTTGTGGGCGAAACGCGGCAGCCAATTGCCCACAGTGACGTCCCCACAAACAGTCGTGGGTTGAAGTGACCGAATTATTATTATTATTATTTTTTGGAAGGGATTATTACCCCCGGAAAAACGATCGGCCAATCGACTAACAAGCGGGTTCCTACTGACTGCGGGTAAACAGAGGCGCGCGCGTGTGTGTGTGTGTGTGTGCGGAGTAAAGAAACTTACCTAAGGTTTTGTCCGACCGGCAATCCGACGAAGCCAGGACCTCTCGCTTGCGAGACGAGTGCTCTAACCGCTGAGCCGCAGGATCCACGATGGCTCTCTCAGGCCGTGCGTTGTCTTTCTTTCTTCGTAGGTCGTTCCGTCAGCTGATCGGAGGCCTGGGAGATGTGTCCAGTAAAGAGTTTGAGAGTGCCGAGCTACAGGCAAAGTGAGTTTCGCCGGAGTTTCCCCAGACACAACCTTTCATAGCAATGTTCAATCACGTTTCTCTTCCTTGGGGTCCCTAGTGTGGAGGCAGACGTCTTGAATTCATAAGGATTACTATTATTATTATTATTATTATTATTATTATTATCGCTATCTCTCGTTGCCCTCAGCATTAATCAACATTTTTCTCAGGTTTGAGGCGGAAGCTGAGTTCTTTGCTGGTCTCGATCAGAAGGATTTCAAGATCGTAGAAACTCTAGGCGTTGGGGGCTTTGGGCGTGTTGAGCTGGTAAGGGGCGCTGCCGTGCGCAATTGGCGGCCGCGTTTCGCCCACAAAAAATACGCAGTCCGTTCGCTACGCGGTGTATCCTGTGAAGCGCTTTGAGACGTCTCAATGAGGTGATAAGGCGATGGGTCAAATGCGAGGACCGCAGTTTATTTGTTGTTGTTGTTGGTTATTTGTAACGAAAGGCAAAATACTGGCGGCTGCTGGGAAACCTGAAATAAAGACCGAAGTGCCTGGCGACACTCAGCAGGTCAGGCAGCATCTATGGAGAGAAAGTGAGGGACCCTTTGTCAGATTGTGTTGTTGTTGTTGTGGTTGTGGTTGATGGTGTTGGCTAACCTCAGGTGCAGCTGAGAAGTGAGGAGAGCAGAACATTTGCGATGAAGATCTTGAGGAAACGTCACATTGTGGACACTCATCAACAGGAGCACATCCGCTCAGAGAAGATGATCATGCAGGAGGCACACAGCGCCTTTATAGTCAGGTACTGCCCCGACCCCCTACTATGCCCCACACCTCTGCCCCAGCCCCTTTCCCGCCCCACCGTATACTGCCACACCCCTACCCCTTTGCCCCACCATCTGCCCTGCCCTGTGCCCCAACCTGTGTGCCACAGTCCCGTCTGAAGACCTTCGTATTCGACTGCGCCCTTCGGTCACCCTCCTCCCTCCCTGCCCTGCTTGAGGGACACCGGGTAAGGGGCAAGTTGTTGTTGATTCACATCGTTTGCGAAACGCGGCAGCCAATTGCGCACGGCAGTGTCCCACAAACCGCTTTCACCTGAGCATGTTGTTGAGACGTCTCAAAGCACTCCACAGAATATACTGTCACGCGTAGTGACTCTGTATTTTGTGAGTACGTCAGAGAAAGGTCCAGCTTTGTATGTCGGATCAGTGTGTGGTGTGACTGAATGTTCCTCTGATTTCAGACTGTACAGGACATTTCAGGATAGTCAGTACTTGTACATGTTGATGGAGGCCTGCCTTGGGGGAGAACTGTGGACTGTGCTGAGAGACAGGTGGGTGATGGAAAGCGCCTTCATAGAATCATAGAATATTACAGCACAGAAGGAGGCCATTCGGCCCATTGGGCCTGTGCTGGGTCTTTGGAAGAGTTACCAACTCGTCCCACTCCCCCCGCTCTTACTCCAACTAGTCCCCACTCCCCCGCTCTTTCCCCATATCCTTGCAAATCTTTCCTTTTCAAGTACAAATCTAATTCCCTTTGTTACTGAATCTGCTCCCACCCCCCCTTTCAGGCCGTGGGTTCCAGACCATAACAACTCTCTGGTTGTTACGTGGCTTTCAAAAGGGAATTGGATCGGGACTTGAAAAGGAACAATGTGTAGGGCTATGGGGTAAGAGCGGGGGAGTGGGACTAGTTAGGGTAAGGGTGGGGGAGTGAGACTGGTTGGGGTAAGGGTGGGGGAGTGAGGCTAGTTGGGGTAAGGGTGGGGGAGTGAGACTAGTTGGGGTAAGGGTGGGGGAGTGAGACTAGTTGGGGTAAGGGTGGGGGAGTGAGACTAGTTGGGGTAAGAGTGGGGGAGTGGGACTAGTTGGGGTAAGGGTGGGGGAGTGAGACTAGTTGGGTAGCTTTTTCAAAGAGCCGGCACAGACACGATGGGCTGAATGGGCTCCTTCTGTGCTGGTAGATTCTATGATTGGTGAGCCTGAGGCTGGGATGGGATGGGGTGGGATGGGGTGGAATGGGATGGGGTGGAATGGGATGGGGTGGGGTGGGGTGGGATAGGGTGGAATGGGATGGGATGGGGTGGGATGGGGTGGGGTGGGGTGGGGTGGGATGGGATGGGGTGGGACGAGCTGACAGGCTGCATTGATGTGTTGCAGAGAATCCTTCGATGATGCCACCACCCGCTTCTACACGGCCTGTGTGGTCGAGGCCTTTGCCTATCTGCACCACAGAGAGATCATTTACCGGGATCTGAAGCCCGAGAACATCATCCTGGATCACAGGGGCTATGCCAAGCTGGTAACCGCAGCTCCGCCTGTCCTCCAGTTCAGTTCCTCCAGTTCAGGCCTTTGCAAAACAGGGGCCATTGATGTGGAGAGTGCTGTAGCTCAGCGGTTAGAGCACTCGCCTCGCAAGCGAGAAGACCCGGGTTCGATTCCCGGGCAGCGCAAAACCTTAGGCAAGTTTCCTTACTCCCAACAATCTCTCTCTGGGGTTTCCGGGTGTGGGGGGGGATGTGGGGAATTCTCAGTTGGGTTTGGTGACTCTTAAGCAACGGTGATGGGTTTCCGCGTGTGTCAGACACCCCACCCCCCCACCCCCCCACCACCACCGGCTGAATTGAAAAGAAACAAGAGAACCAGTGCAGACTGATAGTTTTCCAGAGATTCTGTGCTCATTTTTTTTCTTGCTCTTCAGGTGGATTTTGGTTTCGCCAAAAAGATTGGATTTGGGAAAAAAACATGGACCTTCTGTGGGACTCCGGAGTACGTGGCTCCCGAAATCATCCTGAACAAAGGTCACGATGTGTCTGCGGATTACTGGTCACTGGGAATCCTCATGTATGAACTGCTCATTGGCAGGTAAGGCCATTCCCCAACTGTAGAGTCCCAACCGCCTGTGCCTGACACTGCTTCGAAGCAAGGAGCCCAGCTCCCAGCCCCACACCCTACACGCCCCTCCCCTCGTCCCCTCGTCCCCAGCCCCTCGCCCGCAAACCCTCCCCTTCCACCCCTCGCAAACGAGAGGACCCGGGTTCAAATCCCAGGCGGGTCCGGGCGAAACTTTAGGCACGTTTCCTCGATGCACACACAAGCACGGCTCTGTTTAGAGGCGCAGAACGCTCTCCCGGGGGTAATTAATCCCTCTTAAAAGCAAAAGTGGTCACTCCAAAATCCACCACTGTTTGGGGGGACGCTGCTGTGCGCAATTGGCTGCCGGGCTTCGCCCACAAAATACACCGTCAATTAACTTTACAGTGTACCCTGTGAAGCGCTTTGTGACGTCTCGAAAACGTGATAAGGCACTGCAAAAGCAAGGATTATTATTATTATTATCATCATCATCATTATTATTATTATTATCCAAACCAATTTGTGACCTTACGCCCACAGTCCTCCTTTCTCAGGCTCGGATCCGATGAACACTTACAACATCATCCTGAGAGGGATCGACATGATCGAGTTCCCAAAGAGAATCAGTAAGAACGCTGGACACCTCATTAAAAGGCTTTGCAGGTGAGTGAGGTTCAAATGCACACCCCCCCCCCACCCCTGAACTGCCCTTTCCTGGGTCTGCCCCACCCATGCCCCAACCTCCTCCCACCCTCTTCCCCGCCCTGTACTGCCCCACCACTGCCCACCCAGTTTGCCACAGACCCGTTTCAAGACCATCCTCTTCCACCGCGCCTTCGGTCACCCTCCTACCACGTACCCTACCTGCCCCCCACCACCCGCACACGCAACCACCCCCCCACTCCGATCCCAGCCCCCCAGCTCGGGTCCAAATCCCTGACTTTCCATCGCCTTGGGACGTCCTCCCGACGTGTAAATGTCACGCGCTGTTGGGCTTTATTAAAATAATATCAACGATAATGATCCTTGAATTTGGTACAGTGCCTTATCGCGTCGTCGAGACGTCTCAAAGCGCTTCGCAGGATACACTGCAAAGTGGAGTGACTGTGAGTTTCGTGGTGAAACGCGGCAGCCAATAGCGTTAAAGGCAACAATTATTTCAACGAAGAGTTCTTAAAACAAGTCCCCAGCAGAGGTCAGTCACACTCAGCCGGAAAACCCATCACCGTTGCTCAAGAGTCTCCAAACCCAACTGAGATAGATTGTTGGAATGGAACCCGCTCTCTCCCTCTCTTTCTCCCTGGAGGGACGCCCCCCTGTTTACCTAATTCCGGAGAGAATTAGGCGCAGGTTGGCAAGAGCCGAGGCTTGAGGGGGAGCCCAGAGTGTGCGTTGGGGTAACTGCTGGAGTCTGACCATCTAAACCCACACACAGCTCCGGCTATTGATATCGCTGTCTGGCCGAGCTTTCCCGCTGCTTGTCCGGCTCGGACCCCCCTCCCCATTAGTTAGGGCTTTGACTGCGGGGTTAACAGGAGCTGAGGTGGAGGACTCCGGTGGTATGTTTCCTCTCGGAGTTCATGCCAGGAGTACCTGACAGTTGTAAGCGAATCTCTTCGTGTTGCCGCCTTCAACAGGGACAACCCTTCTGAGCGTCTGGGAAACCAGAAGAACGGCGTGAAGGACATTCAGAAACACAAGTGAGCGACACTCGTTGAAGACGTGGTCACATTCTGCCGGTTGCGGTGTGTAGAAAGAAAACAACAACGAATGATATTGACACAGCGCCTTTCACGTCGGGAGGACATCCCAAGGCGTTGGACAGTCAGGGATTTGGACTCGAGCTGGTGGTTGGGATCAGGGGGATTGGGGGGGTGAGGGGGAAAGAGGGTGGTGGAGGGGAGGGAGGGTATGTGGTAGGAGGGTGGTCGAAGAGGAGGGTCGTTGGCAAACTGAGTCAGTACAGGGTGAGATCGAGGGCGGGACAGTTGGCGCGGCAGAGCCAGGAAGGGGCACGACCATAGCAGTGAGGTGTCCAGCTTTCTTGCTGATTTTCTTTGGGAACTCGATCATGTCAATCCCTCTCAGGATGATGGTGTAAGTGTTCATCGGATCCGAGTCTGAGAGAGGAGGTCTGTGGGGGTAAGGTCACAAATTCAGGGTATGGTTGAGGAAGGGTCTGTGTGGTGGGTGGGTGTGACTGACTGACTGTCCTCTCCCACAGGTGGTTTGAAGGATTTAACTTTGAAGGGCTGAAGAACACAACTCTGACTCCCCCAATCATCCCCGCGGTAAGTATCCAGTGTGCACTATCCTGTAGCTCAGTGGTCAGAGCACTCGCCTCGCGAGCCAGAGGACCAGGGTTCGATTCCCGGGTGGGCAAAACTTTAGGCAAGTTTCCTTACTCCACGCACACGCCTCTGTTTACCAGCAATAAGTGAGGAACCCGGTTGTTAGTCAATTGGTAGATTGCTTTCCGGGGGTAATAAATCCTTCAAATTTGTTCTCAATCCACGACCGTTTGTGGGGACTCTGCTGTGCGCAATTGGTTGCCGCTTTCGCCCACAAAATACGCAGTCACTACACTTTGCGGTGTATGCCGTGAAGCACTTTGAGACGCCTCGATGACGTGATAAGGCGCTGCATCAAACGCAAGGATTCTAATCCATCTTCTCCCCTTGCAGGTCAGTGGGCCACTTGACACCAGTAACTTTGACAGTTTTCCCAAAGATGCCGAGACCTTTCCTGCTGATGAGGATTCGGGATGGGACTTTGCAAACTGCAGTGACAGCACATGACAGGAGAGGTCACTCGGCTCAGTAATGATTCACCGAAAGCCACAGAAGTCGACCACAGTGATAGCCATCTCAGGATTTAATGGCACAGAATTAGGAACAATTCTTAGGGTCAGCTGCGAAAGCTGTTCTCTGAGACACTTATATTTTTGAATTAAAAAAAAAAACCCGGTCTCTCAATCCGCGACTGTTTGTGGGACGCTGCTGTGCGCAATTGGCTGCTGTGTTTCAGTCACTCCACTTTACAGTGTAATGCAGTGAAGCGCTTTGAGACGTCTTGAGGACGTGATAAGGTGCTGTATCAAATGCAAGCATTATTATTATTACCAAAAGGTAGGGGCAGAAAGGCTGAAGGCCCGGCCACTGATGGCTGGAGGCCTGTTAGGCATAGGTCCTCCCAATCCTGTAACAGGGGTTCTCCAATAGACCAGAAGCCTCTGGGTGAGATGACCCTCCAATAGACTAGAAGCCTCTGGGTGGGAATGACCCTCCAATAGACTAGAAGCCTCTGGGTGGGAATGACCCTCCAATAGACCAGAGGCTTCTGGGTGGGATGACCCTCCAATCGACCAGAGGCCGTTGGGTGGGATGATCATCGAATAGACCAGAAGCCTGTGGGTGGGTTGCCCCTCCAATAGACCAAAACCCTATGGGTGGGATGACCCTCCAATAGACTAAAAGCCTCTACGATTCATCGGAGCATGGGCGGGCAACCTCCGCCAAGTGCCCACACCAGTAACGGGATGGGGAGGGAGGCTCCTGTAGTGCAAGCCGCCACCTTGTAGTACCAGCTTCCTGATCAATTTTACATGAAACGTTCTTACTCGAGTCACTTCTTCACTCAAAAGAGTGGTGAATGTATGGAACTCGCTACCCCAAAGGGCTGTTGACGCTCAGTCCTTGAACATATTCAAGACTGAGATAGATAGATTTCTTACTGCAAAAGGGATTAAGGGATAATGGGGATAAGGCAGGGTCAGGTTATTAGCTGGAGTTAGATTAGAAGATCAGCCATGATTGAATGGCGGGGCAGGCTCGAAGGGCCGAATGGCCTAGTCCTGCTCCTACATGTCAAGAGGAGCAGTAAGTAAGGTTTGGGGGGGATATTGACAGCACAAAGACTTAAGTGACAGTGACTAGTTAAGCCAGGGTCTTGTTATTCAGAGTTTAGTGTAAGTTTAGAGCTAGGTGGCTATTCTCTCCCCCACCCCCACCCCTAGCCCCTGCTTCCTGCCCCCACCATTCAACGCTAGTTTGATTTGATTTGACCCTTCAGTACTCAGTCATCTGCTACAATGGAGAGCGCTCGCAGGTCATTGAGTTTGGCCTCGTTTTCTTTCTCCCGATGTTCGTCAGTCACTTGCTGTTGATCGATCTGGCCGTCAGGTCCCCGAATATCTTGGACATTTCGGAATAGTACACCACCTGCACACAGCAAAGCACAGTCACAATACAACACCAGCCAGTCGCATCAAATCCTACCAGCAAATCTTCCCTCAACCTTACCCTTCCTCCCTCCTTCCCTCCCGCACACAAGGGCAAACACACAGACAGACGAGCGCGCAAACACACATGGAAACACACACGGATGAAGCACACACAGACATACACACACAGGCGCATACACGTGTCCATACACACAAAAAGCCATGTGCGATCATGCACAGAGCCACGCACACACACACATGCACGCGCACGGAGACACGGGCGCAAACACATAGGCGAAGCATACAAGCACACAGACTCGCGTAAACACTTGCACGCACATAGGCTGGTGCACACACACACACACACCCGCGCGCGCGAGCACACACACACACACGTACAGTTTGGCTGCGGCAAAATGTGGACCTTTTATATTAATATTAGAATTCCTGTTCTATTGGGTCCACAACTGATTTCCAGTCTGGGGAGAGAAGTTTGGGTCGGATGTAAAGGTTATTTGGTCGGCGTGTGGGATTCTCCTTAACTCTGTGGCGTTGCTTTCTGTAGCCAAAGGGCAGCCCTGACATTTGTAAAAAGTCAAACTTTCAGGAAGTTAAGATGGAGTCGGCTGAGGAACTAGATCTCAACTGCTGATGGGCCATGATTTAGTCTACCCACCGACTCCCTTTGCTCCTCCCCACCTCGCATTTGATACCGCGCCTTATCACATCGTTGAGACGCCCTCGAAGCGCTTCGCAGAAAACACGGTCAAGTATATCCTGTGACTGCAGCGACTGTGTATTTGGTGGTCAAAATGCAGCAGCCAATTCCGCACGGCAGTGTCCCCACAAACAGCCGTGGATTGAGTGACCCATTTCTTATTTGGGGAACTGTTACCCCCCGGAAACCGCTAATCGACTAACAACCGGGTTCCTTTTACTGCTGGTAAAAGAGGTATGTGTGTGTGTGTGGATTCGCCCTGACCCACCTGGGAATCGAACCCGGGTCCTCTCGCTTGCGAGGCGAGGGCTCTAACCCCTACACTGTGGGTCTCCACAATTTTTCCCTTGGAGTGAGATGCAATCAGGTATGTTATTTCCCTAGCGTTTCAGACCGTCCAGGTTGTGACAAACACTTAAATTCCGTCTCCATTTCCTAACCAAAAGATACAGGACTCCATTAGGACTACAGGATTAGGAGAGATGAATTGAATGACCAATTTTGGGGGGAGGGGGAAGGGGATTTTTGTTCCCCGGAGAATCTGACCTCTGCCTACCTGGGCACGGATCAAGGCTTCGAAGCTGGGCTGGAAGTAATCGATTCGACTCCTGTAAAACTTGGGCATTTCCTCGAGCAGCTGTCTGTTTTTACCTTCAAAATCCTCACGGACTGGTTTCAGCTCCTCTCTCGCCTGGAACGAAACGCCAGAGAACATGATCGCTCCTGCCGACAGCTGGATTGAAACCTCTGACTCAACGGGGCTGCAGGGAGGGAGGGCTCCAGGCAACACTAATAATATTAATACTCATATTCCTTGCATTCGACCCAGCGCCTTATCACGTCTTCGAGACGTCTCAAAGCGCTTCACAGGATACACTGTAAAGGGAATTGACTGTGTATTCTGTGGACGAAACATGGCAGCCAACTGCGCACAGCAGCGTCCCCCACAAACAGTCGTGGATTGAGTGACCAAGTTTTTTTTTAAAAAGGATCACTACCCCCGGAAAAGCGATCCGCTAATCGATTAACAACCGGGCTCCTACCCGGTGATAGGTAAACAGAGGCGTGTGTGTGAGTGTGGAGTAAGGAAACTTGCCTAAGATTTCGCCCTGCCTGGGAATCGAACCCGGGCGGGGAGGGTGGGGGTAGGAGAGTGACCGAAGGTACGGTCAAAGAGGAGGGTCTTGAAATGTGCCTTGAAGAAGGCGAGGGAGGAGGCGGGGTGGAGGGACTGTGGAGTAAGAGTTCTGCTGAGCGGAGGGCCGTGGTTAAAGAGACGCGGGTTTGCAAAATACCTGGTGAAGTTTGGCAAGGACAGGGCCAGACCGCTCCTTCTCCTCGTACTTCTCCACTTTAGACTGCAGCCTTTTGTAGTCCTGCAGGATCTGTTCCCGTCGCTTTACTGCCATGTTGAGGCTCGGGAAAACGTTGCTGAACCTTGAAAGGAATCGCAGCGCGAATTGAAGCAGCGGAGTTTGAGGAGCCTCGCTTACTCCCCACGCCGCTCGACCGGCTCCGGCCTCCTGCTCGTCCCTCGCGCCCTCCCTCCTCCGTTCCACCGTCAGCCGCTACGCCCCCCCGAAACTCTGTCACTCTCTCCCCTCAATCCCTCCGCCTCGTCCCCCTTCCTTCCCCAACTTCAGCTCGCGCCTGACGACCTTCCTCTTCAACCAGTGCCTACGGTCACCTCCCCGCCCCCCCCCCCACCCCCCCCCGGCTCGGCGTCGCGCTCTCCCCCACTTGTCAAGCGCTCTGAGGCGCTAAACTGCGTGAGGGGGGCGCAAGGTGTCGTCGCAAATCATGAAACTTGTGGCGATTGAGGTTACAGGTTATGTACAATTTGTTCCCTATTATTTATGCCAACATTTATAGTATTTATTTAATTGTCCACTCTCAGTCTATGTTCCCCCACATGCCCCCATTCAGGCATATTACTCCCCCCCCACCCACCCCACAACCCCCCCATCAGCAGATGTGCATTTTTAAGCTATAAATCACGTTCAAATGAAAGCAAGATATTTAAACAGCGTTCAGGAATGCATAGCATCCCGAAGAACGCCTGGAACACTACCCGCCCACCAGGAAGTGCAAATTAAAGCCAGTCACTCTAGTCAACTGGTTTAAATTGCCGGGCTAGAGCCACAGTAACAGCAGCTGAATAATAATAATAATAATAATATAATAATAATCCTTGCATTTGATACAGCGTCTTATCACGTCTTCGAGACGTCTCGAATCGCTTCACAGAATATACCGTAAAGTAGATTCACTGTGTATTTTTTTTTAGGTGAAACGTAGCAGCCAATTGCGCACAGCAGCGTCCCCACGAACAGTCGTGCATTGAAGTGACCAAATTATTATTATTTTTGGAGGGATTATTGCCCCCGGAAAGTGATCCGCCAATCGACTAACAACCGGGTTCCTACTGACTGCTGGTAAACAGAGGCGCGTGTGTGCGCGTGTGTGTGTGGAGTAAGGAAACTTGCCTAAGGTTTCATTCCAATTTATATTGAGAGAGAGGGAGAGAGAGAGAGAGAGAGAGCGAGAATGAAAAGGGAGATGCAGCTTCATTCACTGCCCTTCAGGTTTACGCAAAGTTAACGAAAGCACAAAGGAAAGACACTCTAACACAGGATCGTTCGAACTGTGCACTCCTCAGAAAGCTGAGCCTGACCCGTTCACGACTAAATCAACAGTTTTGTTATCAATAGGTACGTTTTCAGCCCTGTGTTAACTGGGATCGCGATTTCAATAATTCCCACACAAGGAATTTGATCTGCCCTCAAGAGATACTGGAATATGGAGCTAGACTGAGCATTTGGTCGCTGGACATAGTTTAAGAGATGGGTTTTAAGGCGGGTTTTGAAGGCAGACGGAGGGGGCAAGGCGTATGGCGGTCGAAAGAGTCGGGCTGGAACGGCTCAAGGCTCATCCGCCGATGGTGGGTCAGACCACCGGAGGAGACGAGGGAAAGATGGTGTTCGTTCAATCACCAGAAAATATTTGTCGGCAGATATCAGGGACGGACGTTTTCAACGTGTAACATCGTTACACGGTAAGGGAGGGCAGAAAGGAAAGGGTAATCTTCGAGACGTCTCAAAGCGCAGATGTAAAGCGAATTGACTGTATGCTTTATGGGCGAAGCACGGCACCCAATTGTGCACAGCAGCGTCCCCACAAACAGATTCAATTGACCATATTATTATTATTATTATGGAGGGATTATTACCCCCGAAAAAGCGATCCGTCAATCGACTAACAACCGGGTTCCTACTTTGCTAAGCAAACAAAAGGCGTGCGGTGTAAGGAGTAAGGTTTCGCCCTGTCCTGTCCCACCCGGGAATCGAACCCGGGTCCTCTCGCTTGCGAGGCGAGCGCTCTAAACACTACGCCACGGGGTCTCCACGAATGACGTGGAGCTGAGCGGCACCCACCCACCCACCCAACACGAGTCCATCACATAAGCCACGTCGAGAGCTGTTGTTTTCTACGCCCCCTCTAATTAATACATTGTGAGCTTCTATATTTAAAGTGCACGTTAGCACCCCATAAAGCAAGCAGTGGTGACGGAGGCACAGCAAGGAGAGGTAGGGTGGGGCACGGAAACATGGTAAACAAGAGACAAGACGGTGGGATGAGGTGAGATTAGACCAGACAGGAGAGTATTAACACAACCGTTTTACAGGATAAGAGATAGACCTGGAATAGCAGATGAAATGCAACGTGATTTATAGGTCCTCAAGACCACGTGGCATCAGTCCAAGGATAATATATAAAAAAAACATGAGCGCGGGAGTAGGGCAGACATATTTCACACCTTGTTAAATCCGAGCTAAAGGGCCACAAGATTGATTGAAAACGGTTGCAACTATATTTTTAACCTTTAGACGAGGTCGGGAGACACTACAGGGTTCTGCACTACAGTTCTGCACATTTTCAGCTCGCACATTTCAAACCTTTTCTTCTAATTCCCCCTCCGCTAAATCTGTCCTTAATAATAATAATAATCCTTGCATTTGATATAGCACCTTCTCACGTTGTGAGACGTCTCAAAGTGCTTCGCGGAATGCACTGTAAAAAAAGGGAAATGACTGTATATTTTGTGGGTGAAACGGGGCAACCAACTGCGCACAGCAGCGTCCCCACCAACAGTCGTGGATCGAGTGACCACATTTCTTTGGTGGGTTTATTACCCACGGAAAATGATTCCCCCATCAACAAACAACCAGGTTCCTACTTACAGCACGGTAAACAAAGACACGGGTGTGTGTGTGTATGGAGTAAGGAAACGTGCCTAAGGTTTTGCCCCGATCCGCCCGGGAATCGAACCCGGGTCCTCTCGCTTGCGAGGCGAGGGCTCTAACCAACACGCTACAGGATTCCTTTATTCTTTCTTCCTACCCGACAAGAAACCCTATGTAAGTGCAATTTGTCATTGCTGTTTCTGTTTACCAGATTATATTGCTAATCCGAGGGGGAGCGATAATCTTTCCCACTTTTTTTTTTAAAAACATCTGTCACCTCGCTCGCCAGCAACCAACTTGAGGAGCTAATATGGTTTAATGTGCCTCTCATTTTGTTGTTCACTTCAAACCAGATTGTTCAGTGTTTGCACAAGATTTCATATTTATTTTTGTGACCGGCCGGGTGTCTGACACACGCGGAAACCCGTCACCGTTGCTTAAGAGTCTCCAAACCCAACTGAGAATTCCCCACATCCCACCCCCACACCTGGAAACCCCAGAGAGAGATTGTCGGGATGGAATGCGCTCTCCCTCTCTCTCTCTTTCTCCGGAGGGATGCCTCCTGTTTGCCCAATTACTAGAATTCACGTAAAATCTCAAAATGCCACACTTACTTTTTTAAGGGTTCAATGACCGTTTTCTGAACCTGATTGACCTGTAGAGGAAACAAAGGATTTTGCATGAATTAATAAAAGTCCTCGCATTTGATGCAGCGCCTTATCACGCCGTTAGCACGTCTCAAAGCGCTTCGCAGGATATACTGTGAAGTGGAGAAACCGTGTATTTTGCGGGCGAAACGCGGCAGAAAAACAGCGCACAGCAGCGTTCCCCCACCACCCCCACACACAAACAGTCGTGGGATTGAGCGACCGATTTATTTTGTGGGATTATTACTCTTGGAAAGCGATCTAGCCAATCGACTAGCAACCGGGTTCCTACTGACTGCTGGTAAACAGAGGAGTGTGTGTGTGTGTATATGTGTTTGGAGTAAGGAAACTTGCCCAATGTTTCGCCCTGACCTGACCCGCCCGGGAATCGAACCCGGGTCCTCTCGCTTGCGAGGAACAGTTCAATTTTGTTCAATCTAGTGCTCCGAGACGCTATACTGCGTGAAAGGTGTTACACAAATGTAAGTGTTGGGATGTTGACCTCCAGACAGGTCTGGGTGTTGGACGGCGAGTCCAGATTTGAGCCTTGACCCAGAGTGAGCCAAGTTGACACTCTGTGCAGAGTGATGTACGTTAATTACCTTTTCTTGATTGAAGGAATCCATCCTGCGCATTGCTGTGTCTAGGGCAGTCACTGTCTCCATGAACATTGGGTCTTGCTCACACAAAGGGTTAGCGAGAAGGTCTGAAGAGATTTTTACGGCTGATTTCGACATTGCTATAAGAGAAGAGAAAATTCTCACTGACTGAGTCAAACACCTGATCTACATGCATGGCGTTCATGCTTTAATTTTGCACAATAATAATCCTTCCATTTGATATAGCACTTTATCACGTCATTGAGACCTCAAAGCGCTTCACAGAATATACTGTAAAGTGAACTGACTGTAAATTTTATAGGCGAGAGGACCCGGGTTCGATTCCCAGCTGAGGCGAAACCTTGGGCAAGTTTCCTTACTGCACACGCCTCTGTTTACCTGGGAGTGAGTAGGAACCCGGTTGTCAAGTCGATTGACGGATCGCTTTCCGGGGGTAATAATGCCTCTCTCGAAAAAATCGGTCACTCAAACCATGACTGTTTGTGGGACACTGCTACTATTTTATTAGTTAATTAATTAATTAATTAACACTCCTCCCCATCTGCTAATTGCTGAGCCCCTTCTGTTTCTGTGGTGAGATACCTTTCTCCAGGTTCTGGAAACGCCATCACTCCCCCCTACCCCATTGGAACAAATCTGTGGTCCCCATTCAGCCCACATCTCCCCCACCCCTCCTCCCTACGCCACGTACCTATGTCCGCTTCGCTGCTCTTCTTCATATCCTTGTGCAGTTTCTTGACTTCATCTTCAAGCCTTGACAAAAAAAAAAGATCACAGGTCGGTAAGTTTGCAGGACAGCAGGAGGCTAACTGACCCTATCGAGTCCTGCAGCTCAGTGGTTAGACCACTCGCCTCGCAAGCGAGAGGACCCAGGGTTCGATTCACAGGCAGGGTGAAATCCCTCCAAAAAAAAAAGCTGCCCCTCAATCCGCGACTGTTTGTGGGGGACGCTGCTGTGCACAATCAGCTGCCGCGTTTCGCCCACGCAGTCCACGGTCACTACACTTTACAACACACTCTGTGAAGCAGTTTGAGACGACTTTGTGATAAGGGCGCCATAGCAAATGCAAAGGTTATTATTATTATTTCTGAGCAGTGGAGCGGTGTTTGCGTGCGGTTACGCTGCGCTTCACATACTTACTGCTGGAGTTTGCCGTATTCCCGCTCAAAATCTCGCTCCACCTTTTAAAAAAAAGAGCCAGAGCGGAAAATCAAGCAGTAAAAAGGGACACGACGGGGGAGCGTTCACCTTTATCGTGGTGCGTTTTTACCTGTGAAGTTCCCCCAAGGTTTTGTGAGAGTGCGTTGTGTTGAATGATACGTTATGAAAAACAAGAAATTTACGATTTTGGACAACTGGAGAACCGCTTCCGGCTTGGGGGGGGGGGGGGGGGGGGGGGGGGGGGGGGGGAAGACTTCAGAGTGTGCGTTGGGGTAACTGCTCGATTCTAACCAGCGAAAACCACATCGCGTGCCATTGGTATCATCGTCTGGTGAGCTTTCCCATTGCTTGTCCAGCTCGGGCCACGCTACCTGTTAGGGCTTTGGCTCGCAGGGTTAAAACAATTTAATGAACGTAAAGCTCCCGCACAAGATTAACAATGAGCGATCAGCTAGCTTGAGCACGTTTGCACTTACAGTCTTTGATACGATCTGTTTCTTCGGCTGACCGATCTTGAAAGGAATCCTGAAAGGACACAATTATCATTAGGCAACTTTGCAAGTGCCACCTTTCACTCAAAACTGCCTGAGTTTATCATCGTAGTCCTTGCACTTGACATAGCGCCTTATCACGTCGTTGAGAGGTCTCAAAAGCGCTTCACTGTAAAGTGCGGCGACTGTATATTTTGTGGGCGAAACAGTCGTGGATTGAGTGACCAAATTATTTTATTGTAATTTTGAAGGGATTATTACATCCAGAAAATAATAATAATAATAATCCTTGCATTTGATATAGCGCTTTTCACGTCGGGAGGACGTCCCAAAGTGCTGCACAGAACACACTGTAAAGTGAATTGACTGTATATTTGTGGGCGAACGCGGCAGCCAATTGCGCACAGCAAGCGACTAACAACTGGGTTCCTACTTGCTGCTGGGTCAACAGAGGTGTGCGTGAGTGTGTGTGTGTGTGTGTGTGCGGAGGAGGGAAACTTGCCTAAGGTTTTTCCCCGCCTGGGAATCGAAACCGGGTGCTCTCGCTCGCAAGTCGATCGCTCTAACCACTACACGACAGGACTCCGGTTTGCATTGAACATTTGGTTAAATGTACAACGTGCTTCTTTACTGCCTGTGATCACTAGGTGTCTCCCCATACTGCGCTGGTCATAAATACCCGCGGAACATCTTTGATCTTGCAATGCTAGGTCTGAATGCCCCACAATATCAGGATTAGACAAAATTGCAAAATAAAAGTAAAGAAAATGGAAATAAAAGGTTTTAATTCCGATGACAGATGATCAGTCCGGGCTGAATTAAAACATCTTTAGGCACTTAAATTCCTGGTGCCTCAGTAGGGGACAGAGTGGGTGGAATTCACTGGGGTTGACTTTTATCTGTGAGCTCCACTGGCTTACAAGAAACATTCGGTGCTAATGGTCTAAACATCTCATCTCAATAACAATCCTCGCATTTCATGCAGCGCCTTATCACCTCGTTGAGACGACTCAAAGCGCTTCACAGGATGTACTATAAAGTGAATTGACTGTATATCTCGTGGGAGAAACGCGGCTGCCAGTTGGGCACGGCAGCGTCCCCGGGAGCAGCCGCGGATTGAGTGAGTTATTATTTTATTATTTTTTGGGAAGGAATTATCACCCCCGGAAAAACGATCTGCCAATCGAACTAACAACCAGGTTCCGGCCTTCTGCTGTGTGTGTGTGTGTGGAGTAAGGAAACTTGTCCAAGGTTTCGCCCTGAATCGGCCGGGAATCAAACCCAGGTCCTCTCGCTTGCGAGGCGAGAGCTCTAACCACTCACTAAACTACAGGAGTCCACAGTGGATTGACTGCACTGTGTCCCACTGTCAAGAATTTTACTTCGGAGGCTCCCGGTTTGATTATTGCTCAGTTAAGAGCTGACTCGGTACAGTTCATTAGCTGAGGAGCTACAGGATGGTGGAGTGATGCACAGCCTCGGTGAAATCTGCCGGGTTGGTGATAAACCTATATATATTTGCTGAGCAGAACACCAAATGCGATGTGCAGCCCCTCGAGCCCGATCCGCCATTCCGTAAGATCTGCGCCTCAAATCCAACCAGTGGAAGAAGCTGTTATTCAGCGCAGGAGAAGATGTGAACTGTGGAATTCTGGAAGAGCTGGTGGAGGGTCAAGCTTGGGAGAATTTTACAGCACAGAAGGAGGCCATTCGGCCCATCGGGCCTGTGCCGGCTCTTTGAAAGAGCTACCAACTAGTCCCCACTCCCCCGCTCTTACCCCAACTAGTCCCCACTCCCTCGCTCTTACCCCAACTAGTCCCCACTCCCTCGCTCTTACCCCAACTAGTCCCCACTCCCTCGCTCTTACCCCAACTAGTCCCCACTCCCCCGCTCTTACCCCAACTAGTCCCACTCCCCCGCTCTTACCCCAACTAGTCCCCACTCCCTCGCTCTTACCCCAACTAGTCCCCACTCCCTCGCTCTTACCCCAACTAGTCCCCACTCCCCCGCTCTTACCCCAACTAGTCCCACTCCTCCTGCTCTTACCCCACAGTCCTGCACATTGTTCCTTTTCCAGTCCCTATCTAATTCCCTTTTGATAGTTGTTATTAAATCTGCTCCCACCATCCTTTCAGGCTGGGCGTAACAATTCTCCGGGTTAAAAAAAAAATTCTCCTCGTCTCCCCCTCTGGTTCTTTTGCCAATTTTCTTAAATCTGTGTCCTCTGGTTCCCGTCCCACCCGCCCGCCCAGAGGAAACAGTTTTTCCTTATTTGCTCTTATCAAATCCCTCATAATTGTGAACGCCTCTATTGAATCTCCCCTCAAACTTCCCCGCTCTAAGGAGAACAATCCCAGCCTCTCTCGTCTGGTCTCTCCACACAACTGAAGTCCATCAACCCTGATATCATTCCGGTCAATCTCTGTTGCGCCCTCTCCAAGGTCTTGACATCCTTCCTAAAGTGTGGTGCCCACAACTGGACATAATACTCCAGCTGAGGCTGAACTAGCGTTCTGTGCAATGGATTTCTGGTGGGGCAACGCTGATTTACATTAGACTTTTAAGCTGGAACAATAAAGCAGAGCATTAAAGATTTCACCATGAAAAGCAGCACGCTCCGACGAAAGAGATACGCCGCGCACACTGAGGCCCACAGAGAAAACTTTTCAGCCGAGACTCAAAAGGGTCGATGAATCAATCCCATTCTCTCAACGGACGCTGAATTCACTCGAGCAGAAGAAAGGGTCTGCCCGGTCTGGAACCGGGCCACAAAAGGGAAACAGCCGACAATGGGAGCCGTTCTGAAAGGCAAGTTATTCCCAAGAAGAATGTTATCATTATCCCACAAGTTCGCCAGACAGATGGAGTCCAGTTCAAACGCCGAGAGTGGATGGTTTAAATGCTGACCCGAGCAGAGCGATTATACATTCGAGATCACGGGGAGTACAAGGACTACAGTTTATCTGAATTCCAAGGAATATGGAATAAAGTAGCCTTTCACTGCATTACAACCAGCAATTTGGACATTGTTATATCTGCATATGCGTCCCCGCTATGAGAATGAACGCAGCCTGCCAGCCATTCAGGCTTTTATCAAGGGCAATTGTACAAATGTACAGCAGCAAACCTGCTCTGTTAAAGGGAGCTCATGTTCAGATGCAAATCAGGTCACCGAGGCACAAATGCTGACTCGGTAAGAAAGTGGACGTCAAAAGAGTCTTAACTGCGCAGGAAACGGTCCAAATAACTCTCTCTCTGTGGCCTCGGCATTCAGAGTCTAATCGGCGAATTAATAAAGCCTCTATTTTTATTGTCCGTGCTCGCAAAATGATTATTAATAAAGGGCACAGAGACGCCGCGCTTGCAGCAAAGGCCGTGCGTCAGTTCCACGAGGTACATTGGTGTGCAACCTGCGTTAATTTGGATGCGGGGTCCTGTAGCTCAGTGGTTAGAGCCCTCGCCTCGCGAGCGAGAGGACCCGATTCCTGGTCAGGGCGAAAACTTGGGCAAGTTTCCTTACTCCGCACACACACACACGCGCACACACGCGCACACACGCGCGTGCACACACACACACACGCCTCTGCTTACCAACAGTTGTTAGTCGATCGGTGCATCGCTGTCCGAGGGATAACAACAAAAAATCGCTCAAATCGGTCGCTCGACCCACGGCTGTTTGCGGGGACGGACGCCGGGTTTCGCCCACAAAGCACACAGTCGCTGCACTTTTTACGGTGTACCCTGTGAAGCGCTCCGAGGCGTCTCGGCGACGCGATACGATGCTGCGTCAAACGCAAAGGCGGCCACGACGATTGATAATTTTGCTCGGACGGACCTGCCCGAATCCCGCGACTCGCGCCTGGCTGACAGGCTCTCCCCCGACAGGATCCCCGCGGGCGCTCGCCTGGCGCCCGCATCCCCGTCTGTCGGTCTCACCTCCTTCCGTGATTCGTTCAGCAACAACTCGGGCTCACGCAGCGCCCGTCACTGCAAGAATTCAAGATCCTCATCCTCACCTACAAGGCCATTCACGGCCTCGCTCCCTCCTCCCTCTCCGACCTACTATCCCCCCACGTACCCCCCGTACCCTCCGTCCCTCCGGCTCAGGTCTGCTCCACATCCCCCGCCCCAACCGCCCGACCATCGGTGGCCTTCAGCCTCTCAGCCCCGAGGCTGAACTCCATCCCCAGTGCCTTCGCCGCCTCCTCCCTTTCCTCCTTCAAGGCCGGTCTCAAGACCTCCCTCTTTGACTGTACCTTCAGCTCCGCTCTCGACTCTCTACCCCCTCCTCACTCCCTCCCTTCCCTCCCCTCACCCTGACCATCTCCCCCCCCCAATGCTCGGGTCCTGACCCAACTGTACAGCGCCTCGGGACGTCCTCCCGACGTGAAAGGCGCTCAATAAATGGAATCTTGTTGTTGTTGTTGTCACGCAGGGCAGGGTCACAGAGCGCCTGACAGCGGGCGGGGGACGGGGGACGGGTGGGGGGGGGGGGGGGCGGAGCCTGACCTACGAACACCCACCTTCGTCGGGTACAAAGGTGACGCGATGGCACGAGGATCGTTATTATTATATTATACTATTATTCACACAAGTGGTCGCAGTTGGGACCGTAGACTCTGTGTGAATTGCGCAAAGTATGAGTTATGTCAAACTCACAACAATAATAATAATAATAATAATAATAATAATCCTCGCGGGTTCCTACTTACTGCTGCGTGAGCAGAGGTGTGTGTGTGTCTGTGTGTCTGTCTGTGTGTGTGTGTGTCTGTCTGTCTGTGTGTCTGTCTGTCTGTCTGTCTGTCTGTCTGTGTGTATGTCTGTCTCTGTCTGTGTCTCTGTCTGTCTGTGTGTGTCTGTCTGTCTCTGTGTCTATCTGTCTGTCTATGTGTGTGTCTGTCTGTCTGTGTGTCTGTCTGTCTGTGTGTCTGTCTCTGTCTGTGTGTCTCTGTCTGTGTGGAGTGAGGAAAATCACTCGAACCCACCACTGTTTGTGGGGACGTCACTGCGCGAAACTGCCCACGAAGCGCACAGTCACTACACCCTGCGGCGCAGCCCGCGAAGCGCTCCGAGACGTCTCGAGGGCGTGTGACGGGGCTCCGGGTCAGACACCAGGACTACCGGCATCAGTATCATTAACGGTTATCGTTAATTATTATCATCAATTATTATTATTATTAATTATTATTATTTATGTAAAGACATTGGGGCTGAATTTCTGCTGCGTCGCAGCGAGTGTGAGTTCACACTCAGGGCCCTCCGGGCGCTCCTCTGGTGAGTGTGAGTTCACACTCAGGGCCCTCCGGGCGCTCCTCTGGTGAGTGTGAGTTCACACTCACCAGAGTGTGAGTTCACACTCAGAGCCCCACAGGCGCTGCTCCGGTGAGTGTGAGTTCACACTCAGGGCCCCACAGGCGCTGCTCTGGTGAGTGTGAGTTCACACTCAGGGCCCCACAGGCGCTGCTCCGGTGAGTGTGAGTTCACACTCGCGGGGTGGGGGGTGGGGGACCTCAGGCCTCTCCCCCCCTCAGGCCTCTCCCCCCCCTCAGGCCTCTCCCCCCCCCCTCAGGCCTCTCCCCCCCCCTCAGGCCTCTCCCCCCCCCTCAGGCCTCTCCCCCCCCTCAGGCCTCTCCCCCCCCCTCAGGCCTCTCCCCCCCCCCTCAGGCCTCCCCCCCTCAGGCCTCTCCCCCCCCCCTCAGGCCTCCCCCCCTCAGGCCTCTCCCCCCCCCTCAGGCCTCCCCCCCCCCCTCAGGCCTCTCCCCCGGACTCCAGGCCCTGAGGCCGCGGCCTCTCCCGCGGAACCCCGACCCCCACTCACCAACTCATCCCCTCCGCCTCTGGGCCTCTCCGCGGCGCCGGTCCGACTGCGGGGGGCGGGGCCACACCCACAGCGCCCCCAGTGGTCAGGTACTGCACCCACAGCGCCCCCAGTGGTCAGGTACTGCACCCACAGCGCCCCCAGTGGTCAGGTACTGCACCCACAGCGCCCCCAGTGGTCAGGTACTGCACCCACAGCGCCCCCTGTGGTCAGGTACTGCACCCACAGCGCCCCCAGTGGTCAGGTACTGCACCCACAGCGCCCCCAGTGGTCAGGTACTGCACCCACAGCGCCCCCTGCGGGGTGGGGGTGGGGGTGGGGGGGGTTTCGGGGCATTAGTGGCTGAAAGCGCGGCTGCCGACGGTGGAGGGAAGGGACGAGCGACGGTGGACGGTGGACGGGGCAGGAGGCCGGAGGCCGGAGGCGGCCGAGGGAAGGCGGCGGAGCGGGGGGGGGAGAGGGGGGGAGGGGGGGAGGGGGGGAGGGGGGGGGGGAGAGCCGGGCAGAGAGTCGGGGGGGGGGGGTCCCGGGGCGAGAAGGGCCGTGTTGACCGACAACCACTCGAGCGAAGCCATACGTCCGTCGATCGGCGACGGTCGGCGCGGATTTGTACGGGGATTTGCTCGGGACCGGTCGCACGGATTGACCGCCGGGGGATCGGCCACATCGGGGGAAACGCTCGTTGAGAAGGGGATGGCGTCCGATTTAAAGGTCATCGCCAAACCGAACCCGGGGGAAGGGTGGGGGGGGGGGGGGACTGCGGGAGATTTATTTTTTAATTTCATTTTAACGAAGGGTTTTTTTTGTTTACATTGCGGGGTTCGCGGTCGGCCGAAGCCGAAGCCGAAGCCGAAGCGGAACCCGTCGCGGCCTTCGAACGGGAATGAAGCGTTACACTGACCCTCTCGGCGACGTCCCCTTTGCGTCTCGTTCGACGTACGGCCTCCACCGCGTCGTGGAGCCGTCCCACGAGCGCTTCGGATAGAATGTGCCGTGAAGTGACTGCGCGGTTTGCGGGCGAAACGCGGCGGCCGATCGATCATCGCCGCAGCGGGAAGCACGTGACACGGGTGGGGGTGGGAGGGGGGGGGGGTTAGGTCGAACTGAACGGAAGAGGCTTAACAGCCCGATTGACCAACACTGTTTCCTGGGAACAACAACAACTTGCATTTTACGCAGCGCCCCCTTACACGGGGGGGGGGGGGGAGGGTAAGCGCCCCAGAGCGCTTGACGATAGCGGGTGGGTGGGAGAGGGTGGGGGGGGGGGGGGGGGGAGGCGACTGTAGGCACTGTCGAAGAGGAAGGTCTTCAGGCGCGACTCGAAGATGGGGAGAGAGAGAGGAGGTGAAGCGGACGGATTGAGGGAGGGACAGTGCCAGAGTTTCGAGGCGCAGAGGAACGGAGGAGGCCCCCGAGGGACGAGTGAGAGGCCGGAGGCCGTCAAGCGGAGGCAGAGGGTTGTGGAGTGTTGGGGAGTATCCGAGTCGGAGGGGCCGGGGAGCGACGGGTGGGGGAGACGCGTGAGCAATCGATTTGCAATCGATCCGTTGAGCGTTCCGGAGCCCGCGGAGCCCACGGAGCCCCGGCCGGGACTGGCGCGATGAGGAAAATATGAGGAAAATATGAGGAAAATAAGAGGAAAATAAGAGGAAAATAAAAGGGTAGAGCATTGGGATTGGAGAAGTGAGTCCAGGAGCCGGAGCTTGGACTTCGTGGGCGAAAAGGACCTCCTTTCTGTAAGTCGCACGAGGGTTAAAACAAACAGAGAAGGAGGGAGCGGAAAATAAGGAGACTGTTGATAACGGGCAGTTAGATCTATGTAGACCCACAGAAAATATTTATTAGCAGATTCAGAGAAAACACGATTCTTCCAGAAATATAGAAATATGTAAGGCTGCAAAAGCACAGTTGTACAGAGGGCGAAAGGGAGAGAGAGAGAAAGAAAGAGAGAGAGAGAGAGAGAGAGAGACGCAATTTGGTGCAAACGAGTTGGGTGTTTTAAACCTTAAGAAATTACTATCAATAAAACACGGTTCAAGGAATTCTCAGCAAACACAATATATTTATGTATCAACATCTGCGCACAGTGCAAATGGTACAAGACATCTGGTTTTTTTTTTTCCCCAATGCTTTTATAGGTAAAACTAAATGACACCGTCTGCGTTACAATTAACCACAAGCCATGGGAGAGAATCGGGTGAGTTAATCACCGCCTCATCACCAAAATCAAGCATATACCTTATTATAAGGCACGGTAAATCTTAAAAATAAAACCACAAAATAGATTACATCTCTGTTCAAAATACTGCCCTTTTGTATGCAAAAGTCTTTCGGGGGAATAAAAGCATTCCCCACAGGTTTCCGTGTCCGCAAGTATTAAATCGCTTCGATCGTTCACTGGTCCCACATCAAGTCACACATGCAGACATTAAAAACTGTATTACTCTACAGCAAAAAAAAATTGTTCGCCATGAAAACTGTAGCTCAAAACTTTTTTTTTTTTTTTTTTTCTCTTTCTTTTTTTTTTTCGCTGCTCATTTTCCGCGAGTTGTCGTGCAGGAACATGCTTGGAGGGGGGGGGGGGGGTTAATGGGTCGGTTGGGCGGGCACGGCGCGCGAAGGTGCATTTGGTGACTTCCGAACGTGACGATGCTGTCTCGGTTTAGCCCTGCGTTTCGCTCGCGAACGGCGGTCTCTCTCAGCGCCACCCGTCGACGCGGATGGCCTCGTAAACTGCGGCGCCCGCGCGCCCGCGCACGCATACACACACGCTAAGTCAAAAACAATTACTGTATAGAAAAGGGGGAGGAGGACATGTGGATGACAGGTTGTACGGTGGGTGTGGGGTGGGGGTGGAGGGGAGAGGGCGGTTTTGCTGAAGACACGAGTGCAGATTTTTAGAGACAACCTCAACTGCTCTGTTAATTGATTATCAATGATCAAATTGACCTGTGGAGCTCGGTGCGGTACCAAAACCATGACGTCAGCCCACGTCCGTCCGGCCGTCCGTCCGTCCGTCCGTCCGTCCCCGAGCATAAAAAGATGTCTTTAGCTTTTTTTTTTGCTTTAAACAAAATGGAACGATTGTGCAAAGTGTGGTAATTAATGGTGAGGGTGAAGGGGTGGGGAAGGGGAGTGCGATCGGTCGGTCAGTCAGTCCATGCAAATTCAGTAGGTATCTTGAAAGTTGATCAGTTCACGGCGAAAGTTGAATTCTCTGCGAAATCCGCCCCTGTGCTTAGGGTCAGGCGCTCTCTGACTGGAATTGTCAAGATATCGTCACGATAGGAAAAATCAACCGTTTCAGTAATTTGGGGTTTTTGGTAGTTACTGTACTGTACATTTGCTGGACAGTTATTTTCTTTCCAGCGCCTCGGGATGTCCTCCCGCCGTGAGCGGCGCTCTGCAAAAGTAAGTTGTTCTTGTTCTTCTCCTACTCCTTGTTTTTCCAAAGTAAACATTTACAAAAGGCAAACTTTGACTGTGCAAATAGAGTCGGACCGGGCAGGACAGGTCTCGCTGGACATTTTACCATATTTGCCATAAAACTCTTCTTCGGGCGGAAGTTTTCTCAAACCTTCTCCCGCGTGGCGATGGCTGTCCGATTATCTCACAAACTCAATCAACTACCACTGAAAAAAAGGAAGGTCCAACCTTTTTTTTTTTTGGCCGCCGAGGGCCGGTTTCTCTGGGCAAAGTCTGAGCCCCCCACCCCCCCCCCACTGGGGACCGTCCGTCTCCTGTTTGGCACGGGTACGGCACAATGAAGTCAGAAATGATTCGCGGCTGGGCCCCTATGAAATCACCCGAGGGCCGGATGTGGCCCACGGGCCGCCAATAGGATCACCCTGTTAAAAAAGCATCGATGGAACGGTTGCAGAGTTCAAATAATGTTCACCAGGCGGCCGAGCCCTTTGTACGATCTCAGTGTATCGTTCTTAATGGGTCACCTTGGCACGCATCAGGTGGCGGCGGCTTTGTCACAGCCTCCAGAAATGCATCGAGTCACCGTTGAAAGGTTTTACGCCCCAACACATAGGGGGGGTCGGTGACTGAGAGAGAGAGAGGGGGGTTGCTCACCACTGCTTTGGTGCTCAGAGCCAGCCTCAATACAAATCAATCAATCTCTTTGAAACGTCGAGAGACGGTGAACTTATGCACAGGTGGTGACCGGGGGTGGGTTGCTGGTTCCTGTCGGGGCTACGGGCGAGCTCTTGTCCACTTTCTTGTCCTTCTGTTTGAGGTGGATTTTCGAGTGCCTCTTTCGCTCGTCGCTCCGGGCGAACTTGCGCCCGCAGAACTCGCAGGAGAAGGGTTTCTCCCCCGTGTGCGTCCTGATGTGGGTGGTCAGGTGGTCGCTGCGGCTGAAGCTCCTCATGCAAATGCGACACTGGAAGGGTTTGTGCCCGGTGTGGATCCGCAGGTGCCTGGTCAGCTCATCCGACCTGGAGAACCTTCGATCGCACCCTTCGGCCGGGCAAGCATGGGGTCTCTCGTGCACAGGCGTCTTGCTCGGCCTGTTGGGGTACTTCCTGGGTCTCACTGGCTTGAGCGTCAGCGGTTGCTGATGCGGATTGAAATTGGAAGGCATTTGCTTAGAGTCTGTATATGCCTTGATGGTGGTGAGAGGGGTGAGGGGTGGAGGCACCCTGATGGGTTCCATGGGAGAAGGGAAGTGTTTGTGATCTGTGATGGAGCCGAGGTCACTTTGGTGTTGGAACAGGTTGTATTCTGGGATGACCGGGAACATGTTACTCTCTTGGGGAGCCTTGGGGTGATAGTCCTGAGTCGAGTAAGGGATGATGGAGGTGTTGGTGGCACCTGTATTGTGGAAAACCTGCTCCTGATACATGTCGTTGCAGGTGTAAGTGGCTCCAGAGTAAAGTTGCTCTATCTCGCCTTGGTTCGCCTGGCCCATGGAGCAAGCAGAAGATGTCTGGGTGTTGGCCGAGGGAGAAGGAGATACACCGAACAAGCCCGCCAGGTTGATGATATTCTCTGAACACCAGTTGGAGCCCCCGGGGGGACCAGTGGGTGAGTCGAAAGCAAATTTGCCCAAATATGTCAGGGTTTGGTTGCGACTGAGAGTGGGGAAAGAATTTTGATAGGACATGTCATGATTGCCTTTATCCATCCCAACGTCCATCATTGACTCTGGAGGGGGTGAAAAGAGAGAGAAATCATCATAAGTTTTGAAGCAATAAAACTATTCAGAAATGTTTTATAACACACATACACATATATACCTATTGTAACACAAAACACACACACATATTATATCACACACACACACACACCTATTATAAAACACACACGTTAAACAAACCTTATATCAATTAAGTTGCTGTTAACTAGCAATAGCAAGTAAGTGGTTGTGCTGATGTTCAACAGAGTTGTGTGTGAGTGTGTGAGTGTGTGTGTAACTGACGTGAAACGCAATGGAAAGTCACAGCACAAGGCAAGTGTGGATGTGGATGTTGTGTGTGTGTGAGAGAGAGAGAGAGACTCACAGAGAGAGTGAGAGAGAGAGAGAGAGAGAAATATATATATATGTGTGTGTGTATCTGCGCACCTATCTGCTGCTGATCCATCTCCCAACCAGCAAAATAATTGTTTCTAAAAATATAAAGAGACACATCATCTAATGCACCTCCATTTCATTATCTGTACTTAAAGCCTGAAACCGTATGATATCATCTAATTGTGTGTATTCTAATTATTATTGTTGTTGTGATCAAAAGGGGCCAATAAGAGATGATCCATCCATCCCTGAAGCACATAGTTGGGAGATATTAACAGGCAATGAGCTGTGGTAGAGATGTGTGTGTGTGTGTGTGTGTGTTCCACCTGTGATATTCCATCCATAAAATCAAATTATAGAGAAGGAATCCGAGTCTTTAGGACTTTAGTAATTACAACCAATTCATGAAAGCATTTCTAGATCATACACTCACAACTGCAATCCTCTAAACACAGCCCACATCACATTATTTCTGTACAATATTGCACACATTGCTCAACACGTTCGCCCCATTATCGCTTCACTCTTTGCCTATCATTTCCACTTGACAGCTATGTACTGCGAAGCGCTTTGAGACGTCTCCACGTTGGAGGCACTGCATTAACTTCAAGTGCGACTGCGTTACATTCTCATCACTCTGACTCCAAAGCGGATCATATAGCAGAAATATTAATGCACCGACTACATGTTCACTTAGATAACATGATCTCGGTAACACGCACTAACACGTTGTACACATCCACATAGGTATCATTTCAGAATCGGTAGGAAATTCTGATCTCGAGGTTTACTTTAAAAAATATATAATACTCGTGAAACACAGAGTCAGTATATACAGTGGGTATCGTCTCTATAGTCTCTATAGTCCATAAATAGATAGATATGTATCTCCAATATAATGTGCAATAGACTAGACTTTGACCTGTGATAATTAACACATAACAAATTATCACATAACAATATGGCTCAATAATAACTGACTTCACTGACAGTTATTGGGGATTGAAATAAAAAATGTAAGACTCACCTCCATCGATCTGATTGTAGACAGAATCCGTGTTAAAAATGTTCATTGAGGTGGGAACCGCTGAGGAAACGACCTCTTCCTCCGAATACATACTCTCTGGCAGGTGGTTCAATAAATTACTCATCGTCACAGGAATCTTCTCCGCTATTTTCCCTGTCATCATCTCAGAGGATACACAGCGAGAGGTGTGGGAAAGGAAAGGGGGGGGAATCCTTTCCAATCAATCAATCAATCAATCAATAAAGTCACTCGCTCGATCAATAAATCCCAGGGCGACTTAATCCACGAGGTGCATTGGAAACAAGTTGCAAATTATTTTTTTTCCCCCCTCTGTACGAGTGTGTCTGTGTATGCATTAAAAAAAATAATCATACAGAGAGACAGATAGACAGAGAGATAAATAGATAAATAGAGAAGACAGATAAACAGAGAGAGAGACAGACAGATAAATAGATAGATAGATAGTTAGATAGATAGTTAGATAGATAGATAGATGGAGGGAGAGAGAGAGAGAGAGATAGTTGGTTACAGAGACAGATAGATAGATAAATAGATAGATGAATAGATAGTTAGATAGATAAATGGATAATTAGCTGGATGGAGAGAGAGAGAGAGAGAGAGAGCTGGTTAGAGAGATAGATCGATAGATAGATAAATAAATAGATAGATAGATAGACAGACAGTTAGCTCGATGGAGAGAGGGAGAGAGAGAGACAGTTAGTGAGTTAGAGAGAGAGAGAGAGAGATAAATAAATAAATGGATAGATAGATAGATAGATGGATGGATGGATGGATGAGAGAGGGAGAGACAGAGATGTACTCTCTCTCTCTCTCTCTCTGTGTGTGTGAGTGAGTGAGTGAGTGAGTGTTTCTCCGCTGAGGGCAGTGCAATGCTATTGGGGGGGAAGTCGGTGCTCTGAGCTATTTAACGCTGGAGGAGGAAAGCTCCGTGACGTAGATGCCCTTAAAAGGACACGCGGCGCGTCGGCTCTGGTGACGTAGGGGCGGGTGGAAGCCACTGCACAATGGAACATTGGGGCTGGTCCTGTGTGTGTGTGTGTGTGTGTGTCTCTGCCTGAGATTCAGGGGAATTCAAGCGCCAGAGCCACTCACACATCTCCCCCCCCCCCCCCCCCCTCACACACACACCCCACACACACACCCCCACACACTCAACCCCCCCCCCCCCTTCTAGTCCACCCCCACAGCCTCTCCTGGAGTGCAGAGGGAGAGGGATGGAGAGGGAGACCTTGGAAAATTAACCTCCACCCCCCCCCCCCCCCCCCCCCCCCACACACACCCCAACACTCTCCATCTCACCCATGTGTGTCCCCCAACACACACACACACACACACACCCCTGTAAAGCATATTGCACCAGATCTATCTCCACCCACCCACCCTCACTCTCTCTCTTGGCTATGCTTGTGTCATCAGATCCCCCCCTCCCCAACACCCACCCCACCAACAACACCCACCAAATCCCCCCCTCCCCCCACCCCACCCACCACCCCACCAACAACACACCCCCCAAACCCACCAAATCCCCCCACCCAACGCCACCACAACACCCCCAAACCCACCAAATCCCCCCCCACCCACCACCCCACAACAACACCCCCCACAACACCCCCAAACCCACCAAATCCCCCCCCACCCAACCCCACACCACCACCCCCAAACCCACCAAATCCCCCCACCCACCCACCACCCCACAACAACACCCCCAAACCCACCAAATCCCCCCCACCCCACCCACCACCACCACCACCCCCCCCCAAAAAAAAAAACCTCTTATTTTATTTTTTTAATAATAAATATCTATTTTTTGATATATAAAAAAAGCCATTTTGGATTCAAGTGGAAATCCATATAAGGTGAATCCGGTCCAAGCGTCAGTGGCACTCCTCAGCCAAATTTGGCTCATTTTCCGGCTGTGGATGTGTGTGTGTGTTGTGTTGTGTGTGTGTCGTGTTTTTTTTTGTGTGTGTGTCCCCAGAGTGGAAAATACTGCCAAATCGGAACCCACATCCTTAAAAAGGTACCACGTAATGGGTACTTCTGATCTCACTCTCACACATACATACATACACACACACATACATACATACACACACACACATACACACATACACACACACATACACACATACATACATACACACACACACACATACACACATACACACATACACACATACACACATACATACACACACACACACCACACACACACATACACACATACATACATACACACACATACATACACACATACACACACACATACACACATACACACATACATACATACACACACACATATATACACACATACACACATACACACACACATACATACACACATACATACATACATACACACATACATACATACATACATACACACATATATACATACATACACACATACATATATACACACACACACACACATACACACATACATACACACACACATACATACACACATACATATATACAAACATATGTATACACACACTATATTATTATTATTATTTTTTATGTAGCAGCAAAACACCAAGAGAGAGAAAGAGAGAGGGAAAAGCAAAAGGAAAGAAAGAGAGAAAGAGAGAGAGAGAGGGGGGGGGTGGGGGAGCAAAAGGAAAGAAAGAGAAAGAGAGAGAAAGAGAAGGAAGGAAAAAGAGAGAAAAAGAAAGAGAGAGAGAGAGAAAAGCAAAAGGAAGAGAGAGAGAGAGAAAGAAAGAGGGAAGGAAAAGCAAAAGAGAGAGAGAGAAAGGGGTGTGTGTGTGTGCAAAAAAAAAGCTTTTTCACCCATTTCTTTTAAGTCCCAACTTGTGTCTGTGCTCTCGAGCCTCTGGATCCGATCTGAGTTACTTTCCACCTCGAATTAAACCTGACCAACTCACCAAGACTTCTTGCCACAACCTGTTAAACGTTTCATCCATAAAAATACACAGTCACTCCACTTGACAGAATGTCCTGTGAAGCGCTTCAAGACGTCTCAAGTGACAAAATCAATGCCAATATCAGATGCTATTGTTGTCATTGTTGTTGTTGACCACAAATAACAGTTAACAATAAAGAAATTAAAGCGCATCTTTATTAAAAATGCAAATGAATAATTATTAAATTAAATGAATCATGAAATTAAATTAAAAATTTCAGTGATGCGTCTTCCCCATCTTCAGGTTGGGCCTGAAGACCTTTCTCTTCGACCAGTACGTAGGGGTCATCTCCCCCCTCCCCTTAGCTCAGTGTCCTGCTCCGCCACTGTCAAGCTCTGGTGGTGGTGGGGGGGGTGGGGGGCACTGTGTAAATGCAAGTTGTAGTTGTTGTTTATTATAATAATCCTCACATTTGATGCAGTGCCCTATCACGTCGTTGAGACGTCTCAAAGCGCTTCAGAGAGTATACTGCAAAGTGGAGTGACTGTGTGTTTTGTGGGCGGAACTTGGCAGCCAATTGCGCCGAGCCACGTCCCCACAAACAGTTGTCGATTGAGTGACCAAATTATTATAATTTTTGGGAGGTTATTTCCCCCAGAAAGTGATCGCCCAATCGACAAAGTGGGTTCCTACTGACTGCTCGGCAAACAGGCGTGTGGAGTGAGGAAACATGCCCAACGTTTCACCTGCCGGGAATCGAACCCGGGTCCTCTCGCTTCCAAACAGAATCAGGTCCACTCTATGACCTTACTCATCGGCGGGACTTGGGAGGGCAGACCTGTCACTGGAGGGGGCAAGGAATCATCCCACTCGGCTCGTGTTGACCAAGCCTTGGCTCTCGCCAACCTGTACCTAATACTTTCTGGGATCGGGTAAGCGGGCGGGGGTGGGGGGTGGGGGGGTGCGCGTCCATCCAGGAAGAGAGAGAGAGAGAGAGAGAGCGCGGGTTCCATTCCGACAATCTCTCTCTGGGGTTTCCAGGTGTGGGGGTGGGATGTGGGGAATTCTCAGTTGGGTTTGGAGACTCTTAAGCAACGGTGATGGGTTTCCTCCTGTGTCAGACACCCGGCCGACCAAAGAGAAAACTCTTATCTCGGCGTCTAACCAGATAGTTACTGATCTTTGTATAATATTCCTTGCGTTGGGGCTTTGAGTGTATGGGAAGTGGGGGGGAAGGGGGACATATTCCCCTCTCATTTCTAGAATATTATCACCTGATAGCAAGTGCTCGAAATGACAGCAGCAGATGGGAATTGACAATTCGGAACAGTGCGGCTTTCTGCCCCGACATCATTATCCATTTCTGCGCCTGATACACGTTTGTTCCAATTAGTGTCAGTTCAAACTGCAGAAATCACGTTTCTTCCCCTGGTTCCCATGCAAATGAAAGGGAAAAAAAAGACACAAAACACACACACACACACACACGCACACACGCGCGCGCACACGTGCCGCCTTATTCCCACTGCAAGGACTCGAGAAGTGATCGAAAGGCTCTGACAGTGTTAAATGCTGACATTTGGGATAATAACGCTTGACAGTGCGAGGCTTCACAATCCTTAAACATGTCGAGATTCAATATCCATCCCCACCTCGAAACATCAGCCACTCCACTCACTGAGTTGCATGAATTATTAATGCTGATAATCGTAGTCCTCGGATTTGGTACAACACCTTATCGCATCGTCGAGATGTTCCGAAGCACTTCACACAATATCCTATTTAAGTGGATTGACTGTATTTTGTGGCTCAAACGTCGCAGTCAGGAAGCGTCCCATAAAACAGCCGTGGATTGAGGAACCAAATTATTAGTATGTGTGTATTTATTAAATAGTATATTGATATCAATTTATGAATTTATCCCCCTTCCTAAAATAGGTTTTTTTTTTTTCCCCCTAAGTTATAACCGACCTCACTTCTGGGGGAATCGAATTCATTCGACAAACATTTAACAGGGACAAAAATCACAACGTAAGAGGGAGTCCAGAAAGTTGTGATGTCTACCCTGTAATCCCCCCAAAATGTCCACAAATATATATAAATGATTTCTTTAAGATTTATTGGACCTTGTAATGGTATCGCGACTTTATGGTCGCCCTGCGTAAGAAATGTAAAGCACATCTTCTTTAAAAAATATATAGGAAATCTACCTTTACATTTATGGTGTGGGTTTTGGAAACGCAGAGTTAAACTACACTCAGTTAAAGACACG